CACAACATTAATGGGGATTCAAAATTGAAAAAAATTTGGGATTTTTTGAATCACACAGTAATTGGGCAAATGAGGATTGAAAGTTTGCACTAACACTTGGGAATTTTTGAATTCAGCATTCATTGGAATTGGGCAATAGGGAAAATTCACAGTTACACTTGGGTTTTTTCTGAATTAGAGACTCAATTATGCGTACCTGGTTAAATAGCAGCTTTGTGTTCAACACGTGAACCGCTGTCACCTGCTTCATTCAGACCTAGCCCACAGGTGTGTACAACTCTACCAGTTAACTTGACAAAACTAGGGCTTACAATGGAATCTCCTAGGCAAATCTCACCTCAGGCGAATCTCACATCCAAATATTGCTCCAGAACTCAGTTGTCTTCTTCGAAGAAGCTAGGGCTACGATTGGATTTCATCAGTAGGTTTTGAGCTTAGGGGTGATGAAATCAGACTAAATAAGGGAAGAAAAAGTCACTCAATGAATGGAAAAGTGAGAGGGGCGATGTCTGAGCTTCCACAGAGAGAACAGAGAAGAGAGGAGAAAGAGGCGAAGTCGACGAATAATAATAGAAAGGGGGCCCTGAGTGGGTGGTTATTCAAATGAAAGCGTAATTGAGAAACACGCTTTCTGTTTAAATTCATAATTGGTACATCCGCTTTCCTGCATAAGGCGGACTTCCAAAATACGCTTTCAATTTTCAAAAATAATTTCAGCAATTTAGAAAGAGGGTTTGGTAAGTCCGATTTTACTGAAAGCGTACTTGGTACATCCTCTTTGTCAATAAAGGTGTACTTCCTAATTCCGCTTTTATTAATGAATTTGGGTTTCGTAATTTCGCTTTTAAAACAACCGTATTTTGGTAAATAAGTTCAAAATGGCAATAGATTGGTAAATATGTTTAACTTCTGCGGTACTTTGGTAATAGACTCAAAAATTTTAATATAACACAATTTAGAAATGATCTAAACCTAATCTGATTAGACTCATTGTCAATCCTAATTGGAAGTGACAGACCAAAGGGCTAGAATCTAAACAAATTGAAAAAAGAACAGGGATAATTGTTAAAAGATACACCTATAATTACTTATTTGTCTAAATGTACATACTTCAAACTTTTAAGTCATTAAGTCCTTCTATTCCTAAAATATTTTGTGACTAGGTACAAATTTATAGTTTTTTTCACAACATAATTGCCCTTACCTTAATTTATTATGCTTGATGACGCATAAAATATGTTTATGCACCATTTGTCAAGTATTTAATGCAGTAATTAAGAAAGAGACTCTACATAGACAAACACAAATAGTGTGGTTCAATCAGGGGTGACCTACTCCACTATGAAAGGCTATGATGACCTGAGTATTTTATTGCTTAATGAGTGTAGGATGCTTAAGTGTGAGTGTTATGTGAGAGATACTCCCTTGTGTAGCTAAGGTTTACAATTTATAGACGTCTCCTAACAGATTGAGATGTCATTCTTGTAACATGTGAGATAGTTTGGTGAAGGTGGCATCATTCTCACAACAAGCGAGACAGTTCCGTGAAGGTGGCGACATGTGTGTCCCACGGAGATCTCCTCACGTATCAGTTGTAGACCGGGAGTCTCAAGATGACGTGATTGACCTAAATCTCTCAAGATGATGTGACTAACGTAACCTAGATTCCTCCATCCTGTGGTGGACATGGCTTATATGTTTGAGGTGGATCTAATTTGTGATTTTGGATTGAGCCCCTGGGTTGGGCTTGGTCTGAGTTAGGCCTGTCATTTACCATAGGCCCCACAAAAATGTATAATCTATTCAAACAGAAAAAATGACTGAATATACCAATTTATAACAACTAGGTGAGTTTGAATTGGATATGAACATATATTTTCTTAGATATTCAATCCACTCCAACTCTATCATCCAAACATTCCCAGAATATGGACTTGGAAGTCAATCTATATTTTGTCAATGGACCGTGTTGTGTCTTGTCTAAATTGTGTCATATTAAAATTTGTTCATTCAATTTTCGAGTAACTAATAAACATCTATAATCAGATTTTTGTCGTGATAATCCATATTTAATGACTTTTTGTTTTATTTAACTAGGTTTTTGTTGATCTATTTATTTCACAAATATAACAAATTTATTTGTTTATCACCCGAATCACCAAAATTAAATTCAAACCCATGAATTAATTCTGTGTGCATTTGAGGTGCATGTCTTATGTCTCCATCATACATGAGTAAGTCTATCCAGTGTACAGGTGTACGTCCTCAATGTTTCAGAGCAAGCACTGTGTTGGAATGGCATCACTGAAATCGCAAAATTGGTGCTGTCCTCTTCTGTGAAAGTTTGTTTCAATGTGAGCCCAGCCCAACATAAATTTGAGCCCACTCTCAGGACAGTATGCCAAAAAGCTGATGGGGCTAATTAAGTTTGGACTAGCCCACTACACTACTTAAAGTTCATAACATTATCTATGCACCATTTTTTCAGTGTGAATTCGTGTAACTTTTGTGAGGAAATCATCAAAAAAAATTTGTTGAGAAATTTAGATCAGTTTTCATTTGAGTCAAACTTGAATATTCGTAAAATTCAATTGAATTTAAGTTTAAGTAAGAATTTATACTTTATACTCGGGAGTTAAATTCAATTCAATTAATGTGTTAATCATAATTATAATCACATAAAACTGAGAATTGAATTTAAGTCTAACTCAATTAACACTTCTATTTTATATCTACAAACTAATTCTTATTTTTTCTCGTTTACAATGACACCATAATTTTTTTTTATAAATTTGATTATTCATTATTATTTTTACAATGAATTTTAATTTAAATACTTGTAAAATTTAAGTAAAGTTATGTTTAACCAAAAATATATACTTTATACTCAACAATCAAATTTAGCTTAATTCGAATTCTAATTATAATCACTTTGAAATGATAATCGAGTAAAATTAAAAGATTCTTGTAATTTTTGAGTGGGAAAAAATTTGGAGTTTTAATCGTTTGATCAATAATCTTAAAATAATCTCAGCAGCGAAAATTTCAAAACAAACAATGTTAACTCCCTTATTATATATATATACATATATTTTGATCAAGCCTTATTATATAGATATATTACAAATTATATTTATATTATTTGCCTATTATACTATTTAAATATTATAGTATTTATTTCAATGCAAAATATGTCTTATATTATAATCATTCGACTCGTCTTTAGACAAATAATTTCTATTTAAGGTCCATTTGTTATCAAATTAATGTGTTGGCAATTAATTTTTATATTGGTCATCACAGTATGTGAGAGGGACAAAAAGCTAACTAAGAGAGACTTGTGAGCTGTATGAGCATTAGATAGTATGAGATACATAGAGAGAGAAATATAAAAGAGATATAAGTCTTAGAATTTTAGAAGGAATGAAAATTTTGTTTAAAATATTTGGGGGAAAAATTTAGCATTAGAATCGTTGGATCAATAATCTCCTCAAATGATCTAAACAGAGAAAAAATCAAGATAAATAATTTAATTACTTTATTATATAAATATATCGTGTCAATTACACAACATATGACAAAGTTATATGATCTATATACTCGATAAATTATAGTACATTCTCAATGATGAGGAATACACTTGGCTCGTGTTTGTAATACACTTACAAAAAAATTTCTTTGCCACCTCACGTGAAAAAAATTTACTTCTGGACAGTTATTTGATTTAATGTTTTGATTGGTACAATGAAAAAAATAAAGAGATAGAAAGTTGAAAAAATGAGAAGTTAGAGTAATAGATAAAATATTATATTTTGTTAACAAGAAAAATTAGAAGGATGAAAAAAAAAAGAAGAATTAGCTTTTTTTATTTTGAACTCACCAAAATTAATTATTCTAAAATTAAGGAAAAAATAGATGAAAAATTAATTATTTATGTTAAAATGTATACTATATACTTTAATATATACATACTAGTCCTGAAGGCACAATGAAATATAAAATTCAAACACTTAAAAAAATATATTTCACTATATTAAATTATAATTTTTTAAAATAGATAATTCGACAAAATTTTTTTAACATATGTATACTATTGTGTATGAATAATATTTAAAATAAAAATTATATTAAATTATAAATTAATCATATACTAAAATAATTGAGTATGTGATAGGAATGAGTAATTTTAGGGAGAAAAATATATGAGAAATAAAATTCAACTTGTGATCTATCTTATTATATAAATATCATATTTGTTTATTAAATATTATATATTTATTAATTATATATAAATATAATAATAAAATATATATTTATATTTTTTTAATCCTTTCACTTTCTCATTCTATCTAACACAAAAAAAAATCGATCATTCTTATTTTCTATATCTTTCGCTAAACACAAAAAAAAATAATAATAATAATTAATAAGAGAACAAATTTTTTTTCTTTGAGTGGTATAAAATGTATCACCCAACTTTTTAACCTTCTATTTTTTTTAATACAAGTACACAGTAGAAAAAAGTGATTGCCAGATTCATTCATCATAGAATTCAAGGCAAATCTACTAAACTGCGGTTTGTAATGATTCTATATTGTCAAACAAAAAATGCAGAGAACACCGTGGAGTGCAGTGGGTAGACATTTAAAACACACAACATTTGCCAAAGTGGTCTGAGGTGTCCGGAGATCTACCAGGTGTCAACGTACATGTTACTCTTGCTGACACACCCTCTTTTGCTCATTTACTGGGCCATAGGTGACCCTCGCATTTAATTATTTTATCTCTCTCTATCACACACATACACACTCCGGGTCCCTTCTCTCCTGTGTATGAAACCTTTTGTGGGGGTGAATCTTTATGTTGGGTGGAAAGCGATGAGATAAGGGAAAAAAAGAAAGAATTTAGTGGAAAATATGGGTTCTAAAAAAAGCAACTCTCCGAGAAAATTCACAAGAAGGTCTCACACAAGAAAAGATACACGACTTTGTTTGATCAACATGGCTGAAGCTAGGAGAGAGATTGTCAATGCCTTGCACCTCCACAGATCAACATCCTCATCGACATCTTGTGGTACAAGGTGGGGACCTACCATGGTTGCAAACACCTGCAACATTGTAGTGAATAAGCCACCCATTGCTAGCTCTCAGCAGTACTACCCATTATTGGACTCTTTGTCTCTCCCTGCAGTTCCACCTACATGGTCTACAACTGCACCTTCACTACTTCCTACAATAACACCACCTCCTATGGAATCCCTAGAATTTGAGTGGCCGAAAAATCTGTCTTCTTCCTATGCTTGGTGGCTAGGGTTTCTGAAAACCATTGATGGTAAGATCAGTACTCAAGTGTCTAAATGCCCATATGGAGAAAATATTGTGGTGTCAGATTCTAGGGTTCTAGGGCAGTTCCCAGGAGGTTCAACAGAACTTGGTGATCAGCCGCCATCTTTGGATGCAAATGGTCCGAATCCATCCCCGGATGATTGGTTGACTGTCCCAACGGCTGAAGATCAAGGAGAGGTGGGGTAAACCCTAAAATAAGAGTCCTTTTCACTGATTGAAACTCCTTGATAGTGTACTTTTTCCTTCTCTTTTTCTTCTTTTTTTTCTTCTCCTTTGATGGAATGCATTGTGATGTCTCTTTGTTTTGCTAGGCATCTTGTAATCCCAAGGTGTGGATTTGTAATGCATTACTGTAATTTTTTTTTTCGAGATTGTGTGGATGCCGATTAAAACCCACAATAGTGTTGTGTCACTTAGGTAAAGACACAAATGATCATTTAAGGGACTGAGGCTTCTCTTTATAAGCGTAAACTTGGTCTCTGCTGAGGTTTTGACTAAGGTGTTAATATATGACATGTTAATACGAGATGAACATAATATGAACTTAGAAGAGTTAAATTTTCTTTAAGAGTTATTGGTTGAATAAATGAGTGAACCTGACTTGATATGACATAATTAATAAATGAATAGATATGAATAAAATTAATCATAATAAATATATGACACGATTTATTTTTATATTCGATATGATACGATTCATTGGACATAAATTAATAAACGAATTGAGTATAGATAAAATATTTTTTTAACATAATTTTGTTAATACTTAATGCTTACTTGACAAGATTGACAGACCTAATTTTTAACTCTCTTGACAGACCTAATTTTTAACTCTCTTATATATGAACTAAAGTAAATAATGCGTTCGTAAATAAGAAACGAATAACACGAAACCAAATATACTACTATGTCAATGTCATTATGTATTTTTGAAGCAATTCCTTTTGTTTTGGCCAAGAAAAATGTTTGAAGTTGACAAGTGAGCTATTGCAAGGCATTGTAATGTCAAGAGATGTGAGAGAAATATGATCAATAGTATTGGGAGTTAATTTGTTACTTTAATTCATTGTGATATTTGGATTGAATGTGAGTCTCATTAAATATTAAAAATTGGTGTTAATCTAATAGTTTCACTCAAATCACGTCTTTAGATCAATAACTTAGATTAAATTTTTAAATTTAAATAGCATGCTCAAGATATATTCGACTAGGTTAATAGACTTGCATGATTAGGTGACAAAACCGCTAATCTCATAAAGTCCAATGCAAATTCTCGAAGCCACAACCTTACCCTTATATTTGGAACCCCATGCCTCAAATGTTTTTTGCCCACAAAAGGGGTTGGGGTTTTAGATCCTTGGGAAATTCCTGTCTTAATACCCTTTATTCTCGCTTCATTTAGTGCTGTGTAACTTGGGCTCATCATGAGTAGTTTTTTTTTTTTTTTTTGTAGGGGGAGAGTGGGGGGTTTGTAAACGAACGGGTTTATATTTGGTTACCTATGACACTCTTAACGAAAGAAATTTAATAATTAGGCACTCCAAACACTACTTTAAAACATCATTGGTGGGCACTTCACCTAAACCTAAAGATGTACTATATATTGCTGCTCACACTACAACAAAAAACTTTTTTTGCGACTTTTTTTTGCGATGATTTTAAATTTGTCGCAAAAAGTTTAGTATTAGCAACGCTTTTATATTTTTATCGCAAATTTATATTTTGACAAGTTTTTTGCAACATTATTTGAAAAACGTCGTGAAAAGGCGATTCCGCCTAATAGTTTTTTGGCGGGAATTGACAATTTTTCGCGACAAACATTTTTCGTCGCTATTAGTTTTATATCGTCGCTAAAATAAATAATCTAACATTGAAAGCAAACTAAAGTCTAAATTTCAATTTTTGACATTTTTTGTGACGTTTTCAGAAAATGTCGCCAAAAGGTGACACTCTCTTAATTCTACTGGCAGGGAAAATTGCAAATTTAATTATTTTTTGCGACGTTTTTTCAAAAACGTCACCAATAAATAAAAAATTTAAAAAATAACAATCTAGTTGTTTTTTTCGCGACGTTTTTGGAAAACATCGCAAATATTAAAATTTTCGTAAATAAAAAAATTAAAAAATAGCAATCTAATTGTTTTTTCGCGCCAATAGTAAAATTTTCGTAAATAAAAAAATTAAAAATAACAATCTACTTCATTTTTCGCGACGTTTTTAAAAAACGTCGCAAATAGTAAATTTTTTTGTAAATAAAAAAATTTAAAAATAACAATCTACTTTTTGGGCGACATTTTTGTAAAACGTCGAAAATAGTATACTCTTCTTTCTCTCTCTTTTTTTTCCTCCTGCCAACTACACCATACATATCTCCCTCATCTCTCTCCGCCAGTGAGCCCTAGAACACAGCCAACCATCGAACATAGTCAGCGACGCCATCGATCACTGCCGCTAGCGACACCATCCCTCTTGAGCTTAGGTAACCTCCCCCTCTCTCTCACTCTCTCCGTCCATATATTGTTTCTTCTATTGGTCCAATGGTGACCAAGGTCCAGTCCAGAATTGCCAACCCATTATTATTGCTTCCATTCAACTTCAGCCTCCATCCCTTACTAATTTTTGAATATTTTCTTTGTTGATTTCCCTCCTACCAAATACCCTTTTTCCCTCATTCTCACTTTCCCCATCTCCCACTATTTGTTTATTTTAGTCGACACACAGTACTCTCTCTCCCTCTTTGATTGGAGCTGTGATTAGGAGAAGGCAGTGGAAGGCAGTGAAGGTGGTCTGCTCTTCTTCTCCAGTCCAGACGACGCACAAGCATAACCAGCAACTCCTCAACTTAGCTCTCGAACTCTCCAGTCCAGACGCACAAGCATTTGATTTCAGTTTGTAAGTCTTCTCTTCTCTTCTCTCTTTCTCTCTCTCTCTCTCATAGAGCCGGGATTCACGATTCACGATTCACGATTCATGAATCTTAGTACATTCAATCTTTCTTCTTTTCTCTATTTCCCCATCTCTTAGTCTCTCTTCCTGTCTCAATCTGACACACACATAACACACTCACTCAATTTGCAAGTTACACACTCACAACACACACACCTAATTGACAGATATCAACATATATAAACCTAATTGAATTAAATTTGTAATTTTAATTAGGAATTTAGGATACTACTTTGTCCAAATTATGCTTTAATCAAGTGACTTGAAGATCTACTTTGAACTAGTTAGGTTCGTTGGTTGCTTGTGTGAAAACAATGTCACTTAATCTTTTTATTGTTCATAAATTTTAACTAACTCGCAGTTATTGTGATCTGAATCAACCAACGAAGATGTTTCAAAGTTATTAATTTAATGTTATTTTGATAAAGTTAACTTGAAATTTTCCCAAGAGAAATTTTTCAACATATGCAGTAATACTGGAGGTGAGAAATCGACAGTGAAGCCACAAGCCCCGATCAAACTCGAAGCGGTCTTCCTCTTTCTCTCAGACCATCGAGAAAGAGCAAAGCATGACTATGAACAACTGAAGAAAATTGTTAATGAATTGCGGGCATCTGAGCAGGTTGATGCTGACTACAATTTTCGATTTCGGTCTAATTACATTCTATGTAAAATATTGTTGTTCAACTTCATCAGAATGTCAAGTAGGTAAAAGAGCTGAAACTATGAATAAAAGAGCTGGAAGGAGTCGTGGGTGAATCCACCAAGGATTTTGATTTGTCTAAGAGGTAAAGCAATTCTTTGGTTTTCTCACTGTCCAACATCTCAGTTACCATTAGCATGGTAATCAAGAAACACATGTTTCACAGAATTTGAAATACTATTTGATCTTTTTACCCCTTGTGTAATGGATTGTTAAAATAAATTATAATGAATTTTAATCTTTGATTTACATTTTATTATTGAACTTGGGGCTTTTTTAATATGTCTCTTTGTGTTCAATTTTTGTTTTCATGTGAATTTTTTTAACTTGAATGTTACAAGAGCTTAGGTAGGAAGCTCTTTCTCAGGTATATGAATTTTTTTTCTTATTTTATCATGACAAGATGATGTTCTCCTAAACTGAATTTTGCAAGTTAGTGTTTGATTGGATTGGATTTAATGATACATATTCTTTCTGCATGTCCATTTCTGCTCATCTTTAATTATTGATACATATTCTTTGTGATGGATGCTTCTGCTGTTTATTTATGCTTATGGGACTGGGTGTGCTGCGTGGTGTTCTCTGCTATGCTATGTGACACTATTCTTTTCTGTGTTCCTATCATGGTGAATCAGATTCAATTGTTCCTTTTCATTATAAGAGGGAAACTCATGTGTACATTTGCATTCAAAAGAAGTTTGTGTAAATTTGAAAGTTCTCTGTGGTTTATCAGAATGGGGAAGGGGATGGTGTCTCCTGCTGGTTCTGCGCCTCTTCTACTGTTTCTGCTTGGGCTTCTGGTTCTCTTGTGTTTCCTCTGTTTCCATTGGATGCCATTCAAGGCAAAGCTGCTGCATCATCAGGAACAACACCATTAGGAGAGGAGGAGTTATCTTTCTTGGGCGATCCTCTCTGTCTCTCTTCCTGACCTTTGGATTTCGTTGTTCACTTTTTCTGATGCATTCAAGTCAGATGATGCTCCTTTAGCTAGATATTATTGGGTTGCTCCCTTTCCTCTTCTGTCTTTTGTCTCTTGGTTTATCTCAGTTGAGGTTTTCCTTTTTGGGTTGGATGTACTGCACTTTCATTTATGATCTTTCAGCTGCCCCCTCCCAACTGGGGGCTCTCTTCTGGCATGCTCCTGGGGATGTTTCTACTGTTTTTGCCTGCCCTCAGCTACCCCGCTTGTTGCTGCCTGCCTCGCCTGGTTCCAGCTGACTGTTCAGCTGGTCATTTTGTTGTCCAGTTGGACCCTCAGCTGGTTTTCAACTGTTTCTCGTCTTTTAGGTTGCTGATGGGTCCTCCACCCTCCATGAAGATTTCTTCTCCCCTTTCTTCTTGTCTTGCAGGATTAAGGCCATTTCTGGCTTGGTCCCTTTTTGTTGCTTGTTGGTTCTTTGCTTCTTGTAATTATTCCTTTCATAAATTTCATATTTTTCATTTTCTTTAAAAAAAAAAAATATGGCTCTGCACTGTTAACTACTTGCACAGTGCACTGTTAACTATTATGTTATTTGTGTTATGTATATGGTCCAGAGTGCCTCAGATAGCAGCAGTTGTTATAGGTGTAGATGTTGCTGATGGTAAAGGATAAGGTACCACTTGTACCAGAAGCATTATAGGTGTAGATTTTACACTCACAAACATAAGTCTCTTGACAGTGGTCCATGTAGGAATTTTTTTTGTTGTATTTAAACCCCTTCCCCTACAATATTCTTACTGAATACATTAGTCTTACACTGTTCATGCCACTTGGGCTATTTCATCTAATTTCTTGGTTCCAGCTTGGGGTTCTAGGATGCAATGGATTTCTTTGCTGCTGGGGTGGTTTGAAAGTTGCCTGTTTTTGAGGTGCTGATCCTCTCAGCTGATCCAGGTTTTTTGGGATTGAATGATAGTGGCTGCTGCATATTTTGGACCAAGTTTATATGATTTTCTAAAGAGAAATAGATACTGCCCATTTCCAGTGGATCTTGTTCGGGAATTTGGACGTCAGCTTTTGGAATCTGTAGCATGTATGTGGATTAATCTTGGCCTTGAATTATATCTTGATTTCTGTATTCTTTTCCTTTTCTGATCAATTTTTGGGATTTGTTTTTTGGCATTTTCTTTTTGTCCAGGGTGTAGCAGCAAATGTATAATTGTGAGATTTCTTGTTTAACATTTTTTTATGATTTGTCATATCCAACAGATATGCATGATTTACGGTTAATTCACACTGACCTGAAGCCTGAAAATATACTGGACTGTGTTTTTTGAATGGGCTTTAGTCTAAACTTGATCCATGTGTTTGAGGTATTCTGGTTGCTTGATTTGTATGCTTCCATAAAAAATCGAACAGTAAATAAACTAGGAGGAGGCAGAAAACCTCTTATGAGTAGCATTGATCCCCCGTTGATCATGTTGCCATAAAAGTCTGATAGAGAAAGGCATATCACCTTGATACAATCCCGTTAAAGTATTCTATCCAACTTTTTAATAGTGTATTTCATTTTTTCTATTTTGCCATTTATTCTTGGTTCATGTATTATGTTCTTAGTTTTTTTAAAAAAAAAATTAGTTATGGTAATATATTATCGCTATATGTTTTAGGCTAAGCTTCTGATTACTTCTAGTTCAATGTCAAAGTTTCGTTTAAATTCACAACTGAAATTTCTTTCTTATGTGTCATATCTCAGGTGAATTGTGTTGTAATGCGTGGATTTAATGACGATGAAATTTGTGATTTCGTAGATCCAAGTAAGGCTTGGTACACAACCCATTTCACATGTGAAAGCTAAAATCATACGTTTTTGCATTCATGCTATGTGGATTGCTAATCATTTGTTGTTGATGCAACAACTTATATTGTATTGGCATCTGCATAGTTCTCTCTTCTTGCTTATGTTTGTTTTATTTGTTGTGATTTTGTGGCATTTTGTAGGCAATCAATAACATAATATGTGGTATTTTTTGCATGATTGTAGCGAGTGCATGTTTTATTTCGGCTTGGGATCACTTTCAATTTTTTTCTCTTAATTCTCTTCAATTATAGATGACGTATTGGTCAATGATAAGTGATCTACCATTAACAGAAATGAAGAAAATGCAGTAGTAGGGGTAATCATAGAGACAAATGATGAAAAGGTTGTTGAGGTAAGTTGCTCAGCTCTGAAATTGTGATACTAGCTAGCACTGCACTGATTTTTCTCTTAGTTTATCCAAACTACTTTATCGACACTTGTTTCCATTGTAAATGATTCATCTCTCTTTCAATAATCTTATTTTGCTTTTATTAATTTTTCAGAAAGTGGTATTCTGCCACTGGAAGGATGGTTAGTTCTGCATCAGCATCAGTCCAGGATTCCTATTGCTTGGAGGAGGAAGGTTGTGTGTGGTGGTCAGTTTGATTATGTAGATCCTGGACGGATAGTGTTGAGCTTTGACATGATATTTCAATGCATGGAGCTGGACTATTGGAACTATTCAAGTTTAAGAGACATAAATATAATTAGAAATGGTTTAAATTTTCTTGAATGATTAAAGCTATTTTTTCTATTTTTAGGACTTTTTGTTCTTTGATTCTTGTAATTCATTCTTTTTGGAAATAAAATTTTATTTTTTTTAAAAAAATGTTAAATGTATTAATTATGTTAGTTTTTATTAAACACAGGTATTATTGGTGTACAGGCGAAAAATTTTATTGGAAAAATAATTTTTTTATATAAAATCAAAAAAAAAATGAACTTTTTTGCAACGAAATAAAAATCGTCGCGAAAATTGCAGTACCAACCTTTTTTGCGACGAATTTTTTACTTCGCAAATATATTTATTTAATTATTTTTTACATATTTTTAATTAAAAATATTATTTGCGACGATTTTTTTTTTCGTCGCTAAAATTAATTAAATTATTTTTTACTTTTTTTATTAAAATAATATTTGCGATGGCTTTTTTTACATCGCAAAAAATTAATTTAATTATTATTTTTTACATTTTTAATTTATTTAAAAATTATTCGCAACGCTTTTTTTACGTCGCAAAAACTTAATTAAATTATTATATTAACCATTTTTAATTATGTAAAAATTTATTTGCGACGATTTATTAACGTCGCCAAAAATTACTTTAATTAATATTTTTATAAAAAAATTTTGGGCGACAAATTTATTTACGTCGCAAAAAATTAATTAATTATTATTTTAATGTTTTTATGTTGGGGGAATAGGTTTTAGCTACGTTTTTTTTAACTTTTCGCGACGTTTTTTTTTTTGTCGCAAAAGACTTTCTGCCACGAGGCTATTGTGACGAAGACGTGATAATTTTTTTTAATTTAGTGACGAAAAAAATCGTCGCAAAAAACGATTTTTATTGTAGTGTCATCAGCCATTACTAAAGTCTAAATATCGTTGTTTCTAGGTGTTTGAGGTAAAAAATAATTATCAAGTAAATGGCCATAGACACTACCAACAACTCTCCTCAAAGATAAAACAATAAGAGATCAATTATGCACTGTCATCCGCGTTTTCCTTACAGTATAATCATGTTCCATATAGGCATTATGGGGGTTTGCCAAATAGGTGCTAGCTACTGGTTTGACCGACAGAGAGGAAATGGACTTAGAAATGGGATGAATTGGCACTGATTACCTAACATTTGATCACTCTAGAGTAGAGGACCCATTTCATTTGATGGTAATTGCTGTATTGAAAAGGACTGAACTAAACCCATCATTGTTTCAAAGATCCCAAAGAAAAACGTCTATCTTTATTTCGCTTTGGATTGTCTTTGCTTTTGGTTTGATGGTTGAAGGCCTCATCTTATCATGCATAGTTAAAAACTTGCAAGTTCATCGAATCAAACAACAAATCAATTAATAGTATGGTGGCCCAGGCAGGAAATTGTAGTAATTGTTTGATACGATTTCAATTTTCATTTGATTGGTACAAAACGGCATCCAACAGCAAAGTCTCTATCTCATTAAATCAATAATAATGTGGTCTCATTCAATTCTAGTCAAAATGAAACGAATCCAGCTCAGGCTAGCCTTGCATGATTTTTTTATGTCCAGCTGTGTTTGTGGACAAAGATTTCTGATCTATCCATTTTTTTTTCACCCAAAGATGAGTACATATGTATAATGTATAGAAGACCCCATACATGAAATTTTAGTGGATGAAAAATGATAATGGTCACCTAACAGCAGCTATTAATGCGCTTGGAGTTTTGAGGGTCCTCCAAATATTCTCTCGGAGAGACAGCAAGACTGAAAGATGGAACAATTGATGGGTAGATGCCCAGTTGCCATCCATATGGGTTTTTAGTTCATTGTACGTACCCTAAATAATTTTTTATGTGTGGGCTTTATTTAGGAGAATGTCCAAAACTCTATCATGTACACGAGGGGGCATGGCACCTGCCAAGATGGATCCAACTGGTTTCTTTAAATGCCGGACTGCTTGGAAAAAGTCTGGTAGCAATGTTCGTGTTAGGTTAGGTTTTGACGCCGGGATGAAGATTTGCACAGATAGAAAGGGATTCATACCCTATCAACAATATAATAAGAAATAAAATCTCAAGAGATTCACATAAACGAGGGTCATATATACGACATGAACTCGACAATAATAATGACTTGAGTAAACACAAGAATATACAATAACACAAATGTGAACTTGACTATAACATGAATTCGGCTAATACACATTGATAGATGAGACGGGTATAAATTGATCAAATTTTAATACTACTTGACCAAAAAGATGATAATATCATGACAATAATACACTACTCTGTGTCAACCCTAGCCATTTCTGGGATTTAATCTACAGTGCAAGAAAAAAAAAAGTTCGGGGCATATGGGTCCGTTTCTTGATGAGGTATTCTCTAGGGGGGGTGGTGTTTAGGGGAGAGTAAGTGAACAAAGGTCCCCATTGATTTGCACTATTCCCAAAAAGCATCAATTAGGAACAAATAGAAATATAGGTTTATGATCAGCACCACTTGTTGAATGTAAGGTAGGTTTTGATGCGTTAAACTAATATTTAAGACATGAACTGTGACTTCCGAGTCATATGTACATAGAGGATGAAAGTGAAAAGGAGTCAAAGGAGTCAAACTTTCCCCAGGCTGGCATCAGTACATGGCCACCACTGTCACGCGGTCGCGAAAAAGACCAAATTATTATGATTTGTTTTTTCGTAGGGCCAAATGATAGATTTCATTTAACATTTGAACCCGCGTTCTAAAAGTAAAATACAAAAAAACGTTCACCCTATGATAAATAATCCACTTCAAAGTTTTGAGTTTTTTAATTCAAGCCTTCTTCTTCGGTCCTTTTAATTTGTCTAATAATTTGATCTTTTCCACACTCACTCTCCTACTTGCTTAATCATATATAGTTGACCGTTGAGAGTTCAAACAAAAAAAACAAGAAAACAGATGCACTAACACGGCAAATAACATGATCCTTTTAGCTATTTCAATGCTTACAACCTCCAATGAAATTCAAGAAGGTCGATATTTGTAGATATTCAAAAAAAAAAAATGGGAAAGGATTATTGGAAGATTATTTTATTCAACCATGTCATTCAAAAGGATCATGATCGGAGGGGGATTTGTGAAGGCTGGCGAGCTCATTCCCCAGCAAGCAAGTTATCAATAATAACCAGCCATTCTTCTTAGCCACAATTCCGACATATCCTTCCACACTCCACATGAGGCCCTTCAATAATGGAAAAAAAAATGGGGTTATAGATAGGCTGCATAGTTGAATTAATAGTACTACATGTTGGCGGTGACATTGATGGGTATGAGAATGAGATTGCAGCAATACAGTATGTAAGTGCGTGAATATTCCTGTAGATAACATAACCTTACAGTGAAAGTTGGATAGATATGGGGGATGAGGCATCTCTCTAGTAGATTAAGTTAGGGGTTGAAACCTAAAAAGGACGATAAATACGAAGAATAGTTGTGTTGCAAATGATAGAAACATTATAAAACAACCTTTATGAAGTAGCTATATACAAGCTACAACCGTCTTGATTGACATGAAGAAGTTGGATTTGGCGAAATTAGCACTAACTAATTGATGAGCCAAAACAAACAGACAGAAGGTTAATACTAGTTCTATACAGACGTGAATAAGTTGTATATATGTATGCTTTTTACTGGCTATTTTCTGTGGCTGCGTATCCCATATGATGGGGACGGAATGAATATATTTTACAACATACTACTATGTAATATTCTATTCCTATCAGACAAAATTCGAAAGCAAAGCACGCCCTCATATCTCTTATTGAAGTGGTCAATTTCTGTCAAATGTTACAAAAGAAGTAGGGACAACAATTTAAGGTTAAGGTGCTCAAAAGAAAGAAAAAAAAAAGAATAATTCTTGGGTCGTTCGTGGGAATTTTGTTTTAAAAAAATAGAGGTTATTGTTTATAAAATTTAAAAAGTAACGGAGAGGGTAGTATTTTTATCTTACAAATATTGGAATTGAACTTGTGTTTATCTGGTACCGGTACAAACTACAACCTTATCATTAGTCCCAAGAAAAGCATCGAGGTTGGAGCTTTTTTTTGTTTATTTATTAGTTTTCCTTGTCTTTCTTTAAGTGGGAGGTACATTAATGTCTTTCTTTACATGGGAGCTACATTAAATTAACTGATATAATATTGCTTTTAAGGAAGAACAAAAAGCTTAGTAAATTTAGGCCATTGGATGAATCTTGTCACGATAAACAAGGGTGGACCCCTGTCTCTCTCTCTCTCTCTCTCTCTAGTTCTTCTATAAAAAGGTTCTACTGAGCCATACCATGCATGTAAGCAGTAAGCCTTGTTCCACCCACTACCACATTTCTTTAGTCTTTGCTACTTCACTTCCTTCACTTACATTACTGAGAAATGGATGCCAAAAATGTTGAGTCATCGCCGGTATCGGAGCCGGAAAACCAAAAGAAGGCCACCGTTGGTGTTCTTTACAAGGCATTGGCCAGTGGTGACATTGAGACCGTGGCCGGACTATTAGCAAGTGACCTAGAGTATTGGTTCCATGGACCTCAAAATTGCCAACACATGATGAGGGTGTTCACCGGGCAAAAATCCAACACCGAGTTCAAGTTCGAGCCTCGAAGCATCACGGCCATTGATGACCGTGTGATCGCAGAGGGGTGGGAAGGAGCACAAGCCTACTGGGTGCACGTATGGACTCTCAAAGACGGCTTAATCACTCAGTTTAGGGAGTATTTCAACACATGGCTTACCGTAACAGACTTCCGCCCACTCATAAAGGTCGTCGGGCACGGGTGCTCGACGGTGTGGCAGAGCCAGCCTAGGGACCTGGCAAAACGCTCATTGCCGGGGCTTATGCTTGCCATCTGACAATGGTGGTAGCTGAACTCTTGGTCTTGGAGAACATGACAATGAAATGAACCTACTTGTAAACATCTTGAAAATAACAACTTTTTTCTATCAATGAATTGATGTTGTACATTATCTACAGGGTTCTCGACTTAAAGCATAGGTGTTACTGTTAATACTATGTTATTTTAAGCCAATGTGCCCAAGCTCCTTTTATAGGGTTTCAAACATGCATATCACTAAAGAAAATGTTATTTGGACTCTAAAAATTGACATCATTTACTGATTCTATCGATTACAATTATTAAATAGATAGTAGGTTATGTTATGACCAATAGTTAAATCAGTGAAAGTGATTAATAGAGTGTGTTAATTTTTGGAGTCCACGTAGGATTGTTCTATCACTAAACCAAAAGTAATTTTGTTAGAAGCCCCTACTTCTTGTTTTAAAAATGAGCAATGTTATAGGATCTTATTTGGGGATCTTATTTAAGAACATAATGATATGGCTTCAATGCAACTATTAGATTAGTTATGAATTCTAATGTTAGATGGAGCCCACAATCAATCCAATGGTTGTATATCATTAAATCTCTAAATAAAGTCCAAATAACATTTCCTTTTAAAAAAAAAGAAAGATTTGATAGAAATTGCCGGTTGAGTTGGTCCGACCAAGAAAGTCATAGAAGTCTTTGAACATTGCTTACGCTAAGTTAAACTTGGTTCACTGTTTGCATATGGGTGAGACCGAAATTTACAAGCTCATGGCTTTATTTCCTAGTTTGAACACTCCAAAAGAGAGTAGAAGATACCATGGTGTTGGAATGGCCCATGAAAATGCCATTTGATATATAATGTTTGAAAGAACATTATAACCTCAATGTATAAGGGAGTCATTTCGATCCAGATATTCTGCATTACTATTTCATATAATTTTACTCGATGATAAATCACATATTGTCTATGAGTGAAAAGTTTACTTATAAATAATATATTTAATTTGAATTTGTAATTAGTAATTTATCATTGAAAAAAAATATAATAAAGAAGATTTCAATGCATAGTCATTACATATCTTGCACTATTATGCATTAACTGGGAAAAGAAAAGTATCTAAGGTGGTCTGACAAGGGTGTGTAAGATGTAACAATCAAGAAGTGGTCCTATGAAGGTTTTTGTGAGATGGTGAACTAATGTTAAGCTGTATCGACGCTGTGCTTGAATTGGTCCATTATTTCATGAAATCATCTTTTCTGACCTTACACAAACACAAGACTTAGGTATACGTGGTACCACAAAACAACACCTACTCCTTTTGCTGTCCAACCACCCTCCACCTCGTCCCTATGCTCCACAATCATTGAGTAATTAAATCGAACTTTAAACTCCCAATGGGTTCGCAGTGAGATATCCAATGCTTGATTGCTCGATGTATGTAGTTTGTTAGTGATTGATCGCGCTCCGGGTTTGTGTTATAACTATGACTTAAGGTTAGGGTGGTGGACCGGTGGTGCCACTGATCATTAAGACTAGTATAAAGGACTAGGCTAAATGTGGTGGAGCTTAAGAGTTAAGGAGACAATAATACGGTCTTTAGGTAGTTTGCAACTTAAGCCACTGTCATCAGAGACCTCGAAATAGCAGCTGTTCTGTCCATGACAACAAAGGATTATAAGCAAGTTACTGCTGAAATCACAAACAGGTGACTTTTGAAGGATATTGTATAGTGGAAGAACAAAAATATACAAAGTGGAAGAAGGACATCATATCCGTGACAGGCACATGATCTGTGTCAACCATCAAAAAATACAAAATAAGAGATATACAGGCAAAAAAAAAGCATTGAAAATAAACGTGTCAAAGTGAATGTTCCATTAGATAGATTTTTCATACCATAAAATGTTACACAGCTATTGGTCTGCATTATCTTAGCGTTGTACTATTGATGGAACAGGTGGCTTCATACTACTGTCCAAGCCTATACTAGCAAATGCTTCTACCTTGGCAAGCTGTTCATCTGAATTGTAAGAATATTCAGAAAATCGGCTAAGATGGTAACAATCGTTGGGCCTTAGCTTGGACATCCTCTGGCTGTTCCCAAGTGGAGAACATGGGCAAGATCTATATTGAGCCAGGCCATTTTCACGAGGCAAAGGGGAATGATGGGCATCGCCACCCAAATACGTTTGCTTTCTGCAAAATTTATCTTCCACGATGTCATAGAAATCAGCTGTTCGAACCTCCTGAGCGAGGGAGCACCAGCAACAAAAAAGCCATTGTGCACAATCTGCAACTGCCGGTTTTCCAAAACATGAGTTATTTTCTGGCAAGTCGAATCTCTTTCTCATTTGGATCCTCCAAAAACCACCATATAGTAAACCAAATAGACAAAGCACAACACCAGTTACCCCAAGAGCTTCCCTGACAGTCTCGTTATCAATATTAATGGCTGCCAAGTTAAAGATCCAAAAAGGAGCCATGCAGAATAGGAGAAACGTTGCAATGTGAACGTACATGTTACCAAACCCAAGTCTCTCCATATTCCACCCAAAAACACAAAGAATACAGAAAAGAGAAAGGTAAGCTAGGGTAATATTTTCCCAAAAGTCAAATAATCCCCCTCTCCACTCAGGTCTGTTTTCGATGATCCTCTGTTCATTTCTTGGTGAAAATGAGAATCTCCTCTCCAAAGACTTAACCCTTGGGTAATTAGGCTGGCTGCCAGCAGTAGGGATATGAAACTGTGTTTCCTCATCCAATTCCAAGTCATACTCCCTCCCAAGGGGGCTAAGGATGCCATACAGACCAGCAACTGCAGGAGCTGCAAATGCAACAGAAAGGCATATACCAACTCCTACAGCAGGTCGTTCAGATCTTCTGTATCCCAAGTTAAGGCCACACAAGGCATACTGACCTAAGCAATTCACGTGGAGAAGAACAATAACTACCACCATATGTGTCCATTCATGGGGTTTGTAAGTTCCATTCTTGCAGTATATCTTTCTAAGCTGGGAGATATCTTTTGGCTTCCACCTACATAGAAGTACAAGGTGGTGAAAACGCTTTGGGTGTTGGTACAGACACATAAGAGTAAAGAGAGCATTAAGAATTTGATTATTGACCTCAAACCATGCATTTCTCTGAGATTTCTTTGGTAGGACAGCATTTAACATTCCTGTCATTACAAGAAAGAGAATTGCCCCTGAGACAGCAACACTTATTACCCATAACAGAAGTGCCATGTTCAAAGGGTCCCTGATCCATTCTTTGCTGATTTCCCAAACGGAAGCCCATTCAATTCTCTGAGTGAAAACCCTATTGAAACGTCCTCGAATGCCTTGTCCAGAAGAAGGCGGCACAGATTGTGACATTTCATCTCTTTCTTCTGCAAGTCGTCGGAACTTAGCTGATGGGGAAGCCAAACCACCATCAGAACTAAATTGAAAGATCCTTAATCTACTAGGAACAGCTGGTTTGACACCCTGAAATCCACTTTTAGGGTCACTATCACTAAGCAGTCCCATTTGAGATGCTGAAAGGTAGAGAGAAACCTGCCCATTGGACTTATAGTCACTTGGTGTCTCACTCAATGGAGATTCTTCCTGAATCTCAACTGAGCTTTCTCCATTGCCAGTAGAAACCATTATATCTTACAACTATACTTTCGTAGGATTTTAGATGCCAGACACATAAATCACTGCCACAATTTGTTCCTTGACATAAAAGAGACTGGAGTGCCAGACCATGTGTTCCCTTTCATTCTCCTTTTGAGCCATGATGAAATACTGAAAGCCTAGCAATGTTGATTAACACCAAATTTCTCTACAAACATATCTGAACCACAAACAATATATCGAATGATACAAATTATCATCTCCGCTGAAGGCCAATACAAAAGCTGAAATTCCTATATCAAGCAATGCAGCCAACTATGTTGCATTTTATGGAGAAAAGATATGGAGTTCTAGGACTAGTTATTAGCAAAGGAACAGGCAATTATGTTGAAATGCATTCATGGTTCTTACGCAATTGGTTTCATGCGTTTGTTAGTGACAATTCCAAGCAAAACCAAGTGACAGAGCAAGGGATGAAGCCCATAAATGTTATGCAAAACACCATTGGTATTCCAATTCAATTCCTGAGCCAGAATATCTTGTAGAGCAAAAAAAAAAATCAAGCCATGAAGAAACACATATTCAAAAGAAAATGCTATTTGGACCTAATTCGAAAACCTATTTCAATGCAACCATTAGATTGGAAGTGGATTCCACCTAACATCAGAATTCACAACTAATTCGATGAGCGCATTGAATTAGGTCCTTGATTAGGTCCCTATAGTATTGCTCCATATAAAAATCTTTCCGACAAAGCAAGAACGTGAAATTTAATAGACCCACCACTAAGATTGAACGCAAGTTTTAATTAAGTCCACTTTAAGCAGCGAATCCAACAGAAAATTGAAGAAACACTGAAATTCTGACAAACCCAGAAGCAAAGTTTCAAAATTGGGACCTCAGATAATGTAAAAGTTCACAAATGCAGACATTGCAGCCACTACTGATCTGTTTGATAATTTAGCGTACAAAGAAAGAAGCAAAACTTCATGTATTCTAATTTGCGAACACAGTTCTCTTTCCTTGTGGTTTCAATGCCATTTCCTGCGAATCTAAACATATATATGTATGTATGTATGGATCTCTTAAACAACAAACTATTTTTTAACTAGCTAACGGAAAATGCAGAAATAAAATTACTGCAGAAATGTGAAATTAATTACATTTACAGCTAGCAGCAAACTGTACCTCTGGGTGATGAGAATAACAGAGAATTGGGTCATCTTCTTGAAACGTCCCACGTTCAAGTCTTCAACATTTCCGAGTCTTGTACAAAACTCAGACGATTTCAAAAAGATATATAGTAACAGTAAAAAGGGTTCTTTGCCAGATGTACATGATTCAAAACAGCACTCCATTCCACACCATACCATACCAGACCATACTTTTTCTTTTTTTTCCTTTCACCTTTTCTTGGTTATATCAATCTTTTGGAGTCAAATTTTAGACAGGGACAAGAAACCTTTTTCTCTTTTTGACTAAACTGGAAGTAGTTTTAGTCCAAAAGAAGTTTAGCAAAGATTATTTTGGAGGATAATAATTCAGAAAAGAATTTCCATTCACTTTCCTTTGGCAAGGTAAATTTTTTCCTTCACTTTACAGTTTATACAATAATTTCTTATTAGATTCTTCCACACCATTTAAAGAAAACGAAAAATTTCGGATTGTGTCGATTCAAATTGATGAGGATGTCCACAACTTCCCCCCAAAAATAAAAAAGAAAAACCAACCCAGGTCCCAATCATTGACGTGGTCTTTGGAGACTATCCAACACGATCAGCCGGCGCGATCGTTTGCCTTTTTGTCTTCTAGCTCTTTAATATTCTTCGGCTAGGTTGATTGTCGGATTAAAAATAAACGGAGTAGATAAAATAATACAAATTAATACAATATTGATGGATAACATACAAGATTAAATGGTGTATTAGAATAATATGTAATTTTATTTAGTGTTTGACATACACAATATAAGCATTGAACAATAGTTATTTAGTCAAATTCGTTGTTTAATTAGAGAATTATTTTATCGTATTAATGTTAAATTAACAAAAATATCATCAATCAATTATAGTGTTTGACACCGCCAACAACATGAATAATACCATGATCCCCTCCAAATACCATCGATGTTAATCGAGAATATGATTGAGATTTACCCCCATTGCCAAAAAGATTAAGTTTATTCATTTTATACATACGACCATGATGTTTAATTGATTAGAGGAGGCAGCTATTTCTGTTGTAGAGAGAAGCTCTGACTTATCTCTAGAATTTTTGTTTGTATTTTCTTGATTTCTTCTACGTTTCTTGATTCTCTTGTTAATCTAATTGTGTTGTAATTTATTGATAATGAATTCTGATCAATCTGTTCATCAAATTCCTCCAAAACCTCCTGACATTTCTGGCAATTTTGCCTCCTTGTTCAAGAAATCATTGAATACTGTTGGTGTAAATTCTGGATCTAAGAATAATCTTGTTTCTTCTGTGATGAATTCTGGTTATGAAGAAAACGTTGTGATGCCTCATGTTCCTCTGTTTGTTCGAAACCCCTCGATTGTTGAGATCCCTACTTCGATCACTCAATTTTATTTTTCTGTTCGACTACCATCGACTGGTCTAGCTCATTTGACGAATCAAAATATATCGATTGACCAAATTCCTTTGAAAGATAATTCTTCTAATGTTTCTAAAGTTCCTACGTCAAATTCTGGTTCTACGAGGGTTTTGTTGGATCTTGCGAAACTAGCGAAGGATGCGAAGAGAGTTGTTTATAACAACGGTGAGCCTGGAATGTATTGGTCATTGAAGGAGACTTAGAATTTGTCTGCGAAGTTTCATCAAGCTTTGATTGGAAAATGCGCGTACGGAAAGCCATCTCTGGGGGTTATTTGTGAGTTCATTATTGCAAGGTGTAAACCCAAAGGTGAGTTTTCTGTTGGAATATTGGATCCTAGACATATTCTCATCAGATTTGAGTTGTATGAGGATCATGTGCATACCTGGTTGAAAGACGCAACCTATATAAAAGGATTCTATTTAGGTGTTTTTAAGTGGTTTTTGGAGTTCATGCCTAGTATTGAACCACCGGTGGTACTTGTTTGGATTTCCTTACCAGGTCTTCCTATTCATCTCTTTAATGTGGAGAGTTTGAGGGATATCTTAAGTCCCATTGTTCGTATATGTGTGGTTGATAAATTGACTTTGCAGTTGACATGCCCTGGTGTAGCTAGAGCCTGTGTTGAAGTTAACTTAATGGCAAAAAATCCCAAAAGATTTTGGCTAGATATGGGGGGCTTGAGTGGTCAGTGGCAGAAGATAGTCTTTGAAAAAAGAATGTGTTATATTGTTCAAATTATTTGAAACAGGAAAATGATAATAGGAGTTGTCGAAAGAAAAAGAAAAAAGAGGGTGAGATTGTTTCAGTGCAAAATGCTAGAAAACCTTCTAATAAGGGGATTCTGGACCTTAAGAAGGATGATAATGGGAAGGGTATTATGATTGAGGTAAATAGAAATAAGGGAAAGAAAGTTTTGAAACAAAAGGATGTAATGAAAGAGGTGGAGGTTGGGAATAGATTCAGTATTCTTGAAGAGCAGTAGGAACAAGCTCAAGGTTTGAATGTGGAGGTAGGTGAATGCTCCATGGGACATATGGATGCTTTTTTACAGAGGGAAGATGTGAATAATGAGGTAATTGAGAATATAGAAATTGATTCTGGTGGAGGGGATAGAGATGATGATTTGTTGATGAGTTTGAATGTGGATGTAGGAGGTGCTAAAAAGACTATTGAGAATGATGGGGAATTGATTTTAGAAAATAGGAATGTGTCTCCTATTGTTAATGACTCAGTAATTGCTCTGAGTAAGGAGGAGGAGAATACAATGGAAAGGGACGTTTCAAAGGAGAAGGTGAATGAAGGGGAAGTTCCTGTTTGTGATATTAGTAAGCAATTTCCTCCATTTGTTAATTCTTTTTTTTGGGTGAATAATGAATATTGTGCTCGTAGCAAATGCTCCTTTTCTTTAGGTGATGAAAATGGTTTGGTGAGAAATAAAGAACCTCCTGATAAGGGGTTCTGTTCTGATCAGGAGAGTTCCATGAAATGGGAAAATCTCTCAAATAATATGGAAGGCATTAAAGAGCCTCTGGTTGATCAAGAGGTTGCTAACTTTATTAATTCCAGTCCTAGGCAGACGCCTAGAGGTAATCTATCTATCTCTACCTTTTGATGAATTTTATGTTGTGGAATGTGAGGGGATCTAGGAAAGAAGCTTTGAGGAGTAGGTTAAAGAAATTAGTATACATGAATAAGATTGTTTTAATGGTTGTCTTAGAACCTAAGATGGAATCTTCTAAAATTAGAGGATTTGCATCTAGTGTGGGTTTATCTTCTTTTGTGGTTAAATCTCTTGCTGAGAAGAATTTATAGTTGTTATGGAGTGAAAGGATGGAGGTTGAAGTTGTTATGGAGCATGAACAGTGTTTAACAATGATTGTTTCTCATATGGGTTCTTATCCTGTGTTAGTTATTGTTGTCTATGCCTGTTGTGATCATGTGTTGAGGAGGCCATTATGGTATCATTTACACTTGGTTGTTGCTTCTTTTGATCTACCTTGGTTAATGATGGGTGATTTCAATCATGTGATTAACTCTGTTGAATGATTAGGGGGAGCTTATCCTTCTAGTGTTTCTATGAATGAATTTGGGGATTGTATTCATGAAGAAGGTTTAATTGATCGTGGTTTTGAGGGTAGTAGGTACACCTGGTGTAATAGTCATCATGGGGTTTCTAGAATGTGGCAACGTTTGGATAGGGTGCTTATGAATAGTGATTGGGTTACTAAATTTGAGAGTAATCAATTTTTTCACTTGGCAAGAGGTAGCTCTGATCATTGTTCTATTCTAATCAAGGTGGTGGAGTCTAGGGTTCAACAAAGGATTTCATACTTCAAATTTTTGGACATGTGGACTAAGAATCTTTCTTTTATGGAGTTAGTAAAAGTAAATTGGTGTGGAAGGTATTCAAGTAATCCTATTGAAAATATGTTTTTAAAGATGAAGTTTCTAAAAGTTAAATTGAAAGAATGGAATAAGAATGCGTTAGGTAATATTTTTGAGAATATTCAGGCTTAGTAGGTGGAGTTGAGAAATGCTGAGAGGTGTATGGAAGTGGATAGTTCTGTGGATAATCTTATATCTTCGGAAAATGCTAGAAAACAATTGGAGTTCACCCTTAAACTGGAGGAATCCTTTTGGAGACAGAAGGCAAATGTGAAATGGACATTAGATGGTGAAAGGAATACAAAGTTCTATCACACTGTTGCCAAAAATAAAGTCGTCAGAGGAAGGTTAGTAAGATTAAAGATGAAGAGGGTGTTTGGTTGGTTATTGAGGAGGAAATTTCTTCTCATGTTGTTTCTTTTTTTTTTTTTCTAAATTGTATAATTCAGAATCTCATGATTTGCTGGACAATATTTTTTACTCTATTCCTCTTATTGTTTGTAAGGCTGAAAATGAGAAATTGACTTGTGCTACTTCTATGGAGGAGATAAAATAAGTGATTTTTTCAATGTCAGTGGAGAGTGCCCCAGAGGCAGATGGGTTTTTAGGTAAATTCTTTCAAGTGGCATGGTAGATCATTCAGTAGGATATGTTTGAAGCTGTGAATTTCTTTCTGACTGATAGGAGTATGCCCAGGTCTGTCAATGCTATTTTGTTAGCATTGATACCTAAGAAGTCTAATCCAACTTCGTTTACAGAATTTCGTCCAATTAGTTTATGTAACTTTTTATACAAAGTTTTTACGAAATTGTTGGCTAAAAGATTGGCTTTGTTGTTACCTTCATTAGTTGCAGAGGATCAGCATGGGTTCATACAGAGAAGGAGTATTGGAGAATGCATTTCTTTAGCTTAGTTTATGGTAGGAGAGCTTTATAGGAAGGTGGAGGCCGGGAACATTATTCTCAAATTGGATATGATGAAAGCATACAATAGAATGGAATGGGACTTTATTCAAAAAGTCTTAAAGTGTTTTGGTTTTTCTGAGCTATTTGTAACTATTATTGGTAATTGTTTTAAAAATTAGTTCTTTTAAGTGTGCTTAAATGGACAGAGGCATGGTTTTTTCCCAACTTCTCGTGGTTTGAGACAGGGATATCCTCTTTCTTCCTCTTTGTTCGTTTTAGCAGAAGAGGTTCTTAGCAGGGGCTGACTAAGCTTTTGTTGAAGGGATTGATGAAGCACTTTCATACTGGTAGAGGGACAACAATGATTTCTCATCTGTTGTTTGCAGATGATACATTATTGTTTCTAAGGGGCAATAAGAGGTCTTTGGTGAAGTTGCTTGAGTTTGTATGAAGGCTATTTTGGGCAGAGAATAAGCAGACAGAAAAGCTCCTTGATTTGTTCATGCAAAATTCCTCAACACAGAGTTTTAATGTTGTCCAGATTAGTTCAAATTCCCCTTAAACAGTGCCCAATTACTTACTTGGGTTGCCCCTTTGGGGAAAGGTAGGATTAGATTGAGAGATTTTGAAGATTTTGTTCTAAAATTCAAAGCCAGAATAGAAGGTTGGCAGGCTAGATTGCTTTCTAACATGGGAAGAGTGGTGATGGTGTAGTCTGTTTTAAACTCTGTTCCTGTGCATTTGCTGGCTTGTTTGAATTTTCCTAAAGGAATTCTTTTTAGATTGAATTCTCTTATGGCTTCTTTCATTTGGTTTGGTGAGGCAAGAGTAAGGAGGAGGCACTGGGTTTCTTGATAGAAAGCTGCTAAATTAAAACAGGAAGGGGGTTTGGAGATTAGAAGGTTTGAGGATTTTCAGATTGCTTTTAGATTGAAGCAAATTTGGGGGATTTTGCAGGGGCAGTCTCTTTGGGCTAAAGTTTTTTCTGCAAAGTTTTTGAAGGGGAGTCATGTTTTGAGATGTTCTAGTTATGGCAAGTTGAAGAGCTTTAAAATGTTGTAGCCTTGGTTTGATATGGTGATTATGAAGTCTTTTTCAATTGTGGAGGATGGAAGATCAGTGGATTTTTGGTGTTTAAATTGGTTGGGTTCTGGTCCTTTGTTGCTCAAAATCACTGGGTTACCTATCTTCTTTCCTAAGCTTTCTGAGGTGTATGTTGATAATAGGTGGCAGTGACAAGTGTTAGGAGATTTTGTTAATGATCAGCTGAGAGAGGAAATTTTAGCTGCTGATGTTTGTTCTCTAATAGGCCTGATTGTTTAGTTTGGATGCCTAATACTAATGGTCTTTTTTCTATTAAGTCAACTTGGCATCTTGGTAGGAATGGTGGGAAAGTGAACTAAGTGGCTTCTGTTATCTGGAAGCTTGTTGTTCCTCCTAGTGCTAAGTTAATAGGATGGAGGCTATTGAATAATGTTATTCCTTTGGATTCCAGGTTCCAATCTATTGGGGTAAGTCTGGCCAGTAGGTGTGCTTTTTGCTCTGCTGAAATGGAAGATTGTTTCTCATTTGTTTGTTCACTGTAGTTTTGCTGCTTTAGTTTGGTCTAAACTAGCAGTTCTATGTGGTTTTCATTTCATTAATAGTGAATCTCCAATAGTTAGAATGGTGATATTGGTGAGAATCTTTAAAAAGGATTCTTTACATCATGCTCTGATGAGAGGCGTGTCAGTGATAGCGTATCGGCTTCTTTGGAAAGAAAAATGTAGGAGAGTTTATGATTAGGGTTGTTTATCTCCTCATGCTAATTTTTGTAAGAGTTTGTGAGGTTGTGAGGATGCAAGCTAAAGTGTTTAGGCCAAGTGTAGTGGAAAGTGAAAGGGGGAAAGGAGGTTTTGCAGGCTTTGGGATTGAATATGTTCAGAAGATTCAGATTATTGCTCTGTGGGTTAGATGGTTTCCTCCTTCTTATGGTAAGCTGAAACTCAATGTTGATGGAGCTTCTAAAGGTAATCCTGGTAGGGCTGGGAGAGGAGTAGTAGTCAAAAATCATTGGGGTAAATTTATACTTGCTACTTCCTTTTGCTATGGTGACTGTTCAAACATGGAGGTAGAGTTAAGGGCTCTAAGAGATGGGCTGGTTTTATTGGAGAGGTACAACCTGCTGGTTTTTCAGTTTCCAAGTGAAACTAACTTTGAGGTCATGGTGCAGATGGTCTTGAAAGGACATCATAGAGCTTGGAAATTCTACGGTTTATTGAGACAGATTTTGGAGAGTTTGGACTGCTTGGAGTTCAGTTTGTAGCATGTTTATAGAGAGACCAATGACCTGACTGATTATTTTGCTAATTTGGCAGTGCTGCAAGGGTGTTCTTCTGTTTTTCTTCAAGATCAGACTATTCTTGTGCAAGCAAGGCTGTTGTTATTGCATGACCAACAAGGGCTTCAGCTGCTAAGGAAGAAGGGGAAATTTATCTAAATTTTCTTTTTGCAATTTTGAGATTTTTTGGACTATCATTGATGTATTTCTTTTGATTATAGGGTGTTTTGAAGGATTAAGCCAATTTGGTCTGATCCTTTTTACTTCTTGTAAATTTTGTTTCATGAAATAAAATTTTTGGTTCATTAAAAAAAATATCCACAAAAAAAAAACTTATAAAAAAAATTTTCATTAAGTTAAAAATATTTCATTGAGTTAATAACAGTAATAATTAATTGATAATAATATCAATAAAAAACCATCAATAAAAAAAATAAAACTTTATTCGAATCGATGCATTTATGTGAACCATTGTTTAAACCATTACAAATTCACATAACAACTCAAAACTACAGATAAAAACTAAAAAAAAATTAAAAGTCATGTTAAAGCCTATGTTAAGTCAACTTATTTATTACAAAAACTAGAAAATGACATGAATTCGCCACCGAAGTGAAAATCTTCTCACTTTAAAGTTTACCACCAAGAAGCATTTGCAACCAATATGACTTCGCAGCATCAGGCAAGCTGAAGAAATAGTCGACTCTTTTCTGATCATTCACAATCATTTGCCCAACTCTTATTCTGTCATTGAAATTTAGCCCCTCAATTTGCTCAAGTACCCCATAGACCCTAGCTCTTTCGTCAGCAATGCCATGTGCATATCTCATGTGTTTAGCCATGTCCCCTAGTAATTGAGTACTCTCAGAAAGAAAAGAAGTAAATGTTTTTCTAATATCTCCTACTCTAGAATCAACTCTCTTCCTCTTATTTTTTTCCCAGGCTAGGTCCCGACATTTTTATTCGAGTTTTGAGTTACTCCATTGGACACTCTAATATCATCAAAACCCACTATTTCAACTTCATTTGCGGATCCATCATTTACTCCTTCCCTAGCCAGCTCATCAAGAAAGTCACCTGGAGCCTCCGCATGTTCACTTGTGGCCCTATCTTTCCCAAATGTGACACACCATTGATTATAAAATGGAAAAGATTTGGTCCTTATCTGTAAAACCCGGTAAAAAAAAAAGGTCAAAAACGATAATCTAAGCCTAAAGTTTGGGAAATTAAATTAGGCTTCCTCAGAATTCCAGTACATGGGCTTATGCTACGAGAGGTAGGGTTTCCCCTATTTAAATTTACTTTCAACCTAAAATATGGCATATGAAATGGGTAGGCTGTGGGTGTATATCACATGTTAGGTCTTGACTAGTGTAACTAGTGGGTCAAATATATGATTTATGTAATTATAAAAATCCTAGTATGATTAACTTGGTGTAAGTTAATGTTAGTTGTTCATTGTTTTAAATGACATATAAAGGTTAATGAAATTATTAGCTTGTTATGTGATTATGGAATAATATGTATGTTAAATGATTATTTAGCATATAATTATTGTGGTGGACTTGTGCTTATGTTTATAGAATTGATAAATATGTTGTCATGTTGAAAATGTCATTATATTGTATTCTTTATGTAATGGACATTGTAAATGGTACCAAAGGCAATTGCACATTTAAATGTCATTATGCATGAGTTACATTACATTCATGAACATTGACAAGGGTGGGAGTATGTGCATGAGATAAAATTAATCACCACATAGGTGGTTGATTGTGGACTCGAAAAAGTCGCACCAAGGTCTAGCTGAGTCACACGAAAAATTAAATGGATAAACGTGTCGGGGATAGTAAGAAGGGCTAGATTCTCCCTCAGGTGCAAGACCCGCTTACTTGGTTTATACACTTTCTGGCGGTGAAATTCCAGAAAAGTGTAACGGCCAAAACGGAGCTGCAGGTGGGATGTCCTGAGAATCCGTTGATGGTTGGTGTCTCATTGGTGTAATACCATAAATCATCTCTCCACAAAGACACAAGAAAATAAATTAATTAGTCATTGAGTGTACATAACACTAATGACGGGGCTTGTAATGCCCGAATACATATGCATGATATTACATGTATTGTAGGAGCTCAGGATGGGGCTCGGTGTTGGTATTGTGTTCGTGAGTCTCATCTCATGACATGACATGATTTATGACATTTGTTTATAATAGACATATTTGAATGATTGCATGAAATGATTGTTGTATATGACAATTTATATGCATTTAGGTTGAGAGGTATTCTCTATAGGAATTATCCTATTAAGCGTTGACTTACCCTTTATAGGAACATTTTTCAGGTATTGCACAAGCATCCACCGAATGCGAGGCCATGGGCCCGCTTTGACTATAGAGTCGGTCTGTGACTCTTCTTTTCACATCATAGTCACTTGTTTATAATTATTTTTGGTCTTGTGTAATTTTTGTAACAAAAACTTGTTTATATTTAAAAGGCATGTATAAGAGACTATTTTAAGACATTTATTCTTTTATGAATAAATGTACGTAATGATGATGATTACGGTAGTATTTGATACTATACAATTATGAATGGATGGATAGACCAGGTGTGATTAATATTGTACAAGTTGCGTTTTGAGTAAAGCTCCTCATACAAAAGAGACTATGTCCAAATTTTGTTAAGTTATGGATCTCAGTAAATGGAACATAACGATGTGGTATCGAATTACATGGTATCCACGAGTATTCCGCGGGTTGATAGGTGATCAATTGGGTAATTACAGACACAAGGATTTTGGGGTGTCACATTATCCCTTCCGCATTTGGCTCTTTCTACATTAAAAAAGATAGATTATATTATTTGGAAAACATATTAAAATTCATAAAGCAAAAAAAAAAATTACTCAAATTAATTATTACTTTAACAAACTCTTCTCAAACTTGATTACTGTCCACCTCGATCTTCATTTCAGTTTCATTGAAACCAAATCCACTAGTGTTTAACATGGTTGTTAGTAGATTGTAATGTCTTTTCCACATTCTAAGTTTGGATTCAATGTGCGAAATAACACACAGATCGCATCCAGGAACAACCTTCATTATAGACTTTTCATGTTGTTACAAATAACCTGTTCTAAAGGTCTCATTCTCACACCTCCACCCCAATGCAATAATATCCTCCAACTCCTCAATATTTAATCCCCTCATAATACGTCTACCAAACGAATCCTTCGTGTTTGGGCTGCCATTGAGAGGAGTTTGTTTTTAATGAATAAGGTTCCCTTTGGTAACTTGTTTTATTAAAAATAAAAATAAAATGTGTTTATGGTTTTCTTTTTTTTTTTTTAGAAACTCTATTCAAAAACAAGGCCAAAAAATAAAAATACAAAAAAAATATTTTTAAAAACACCAAAAATTCAACATACGTGTGCGTCTTGGGAGGGATTTAATGAAGTCTCGCTTTCGAACCCTATTAGTAACAATTCACATGTTTTTTTAATTAGAATTATAAAAGCTCTATTATCGCCTCTCGTCTATCTCTCTCTTGTCGACCTTGTCAACAACCATTGAACACCAATCATCGATAACAACCAGACCATCTCTCTCTCTCTCTCTCTCTCTCTCATTTAAATTTGAGGGAAAACTGTTTGGATCTAAGGGCAAGAGTTGAGTGGTGGGTTTCGATGGTTGTTGGTGACAACAGTCAAATACTCTCTCTCTCACACATAGGAAATCGTTGTTGGTGGTGGGTTTTGAAGTGGGGTTGTAGGTTTTGAAGTGGGGTTGTGGGTTTTTATTTTCGCGCCCAAAATATGACATCACATTCCTGCACAAATTTCGCATGGGACGCATGATTGGACTCTAGCATTCTCCCTTTGTGATCTCTCCCTCTCTCTGCCAAGCTAAGCTAATTAGTCCACAGGGACTGACCCATCAAATTTTACGTGGATGTGGGGAGTCACATGAAAGAGTAGCAGCTTATAAGCTAATTAATCCATTGTGCGATATTTCGCAAAAATGAAGTATTAATTTGATGAAATCTTATTTAACGATTAATTTCAAATGAATGGTCAATTAAAGGATATCAATTAAATGCGTATATTTAAAATTACAAGTTGAATTTGATACATGTAAGTTTATATGTAAAAAACTGAACTTCATTCTAGTGTCGATATTACTATATTGTTACTAAATGATTTTGTTAAGAGAGAATTGGGGCGTGATATTAAATCCGATAATGAGTTAGGTCATGTTTTCTTTTAAATTCATGTAACTTTTAGTCATTTGATAAATAATGTGTACAAGTTGATTTTTTTGTATTCTATTTTTAAAGTGATATCTCTCGATTTTTTTTTTTTTTGAGTCTGGATCGATTTAGAATAGCATAACTACTTCAAATATTTGTATATTATTAAAAATATCTATATTACATGATTAGTGTTCAATTTTTTGTTGCACAATATCTTTAGACACAAATTTTGTCCATTTAAAAAAAAATAGTGATTATCACAATTTAATATTTGATATAATAAACTCAATTCTTTAAGGTACTCTACTTTTATATTGCACGTTATTACTAATATTTGATCATGGGTTCAATGTAACATTTTGGCATTCTGAGTCTTATGTTGACGACAATCATTTTGTACAAATAATGTTGAAGGTTACACTGGTGCCCACGCTATAATTTCCAAACTCCCATTAACGGCAAAACTCAGTATTATTTTTAAAATTAATTCTTACATTTTAAACAAATCTACAGCGGATTCAGAATTTACTGAGAGACCAATGCACACTCAAAACAGTTCAGGCAGGGAAAACTTGTTCAGGACATAACTAAATAATTTTCCCAAATGAACATAAGCCTTTCTACAATCATACAAAGTCCAGACACATGGCCTGATAATACACAATGCTCCATAAAGAAACAATGGAGAGAGATTTCCACAAGGACAAAAATTACGTAGAGCTCTGTGATGCCAAATCAAGCAGTTTGCGGAAAAACTTGTGAGGATACATCGGAGGTTGCTCTGCCAGTGCCTGAATACGTAGAGTAAATTATATGAGGTTAGGCATCCATAGACCATAGTATGCAGTACATTCTATTATATGTATGATTCGAATGAGACATTGGGTTTTCAAATAAACGAGTGCCCCTGAAACAACACTTGCCCACTGACGGCATATGGATTTAAAGAAATGAGCATATTTCGGTTTATGTTTCTTGTTCAAGTTGATGATGATGATGCTGCTGCTACTTTGCCTTTCTGAAACTGGATATATAAAATGTAAACCAAATTGAAATCTGGTTATTACCTGATGAATCAAGACAGTGGAAGGTGTCATTCCAGGTACAGTATTGGCTTCTATGATCAGTACCTGTAATTACATAAAGTGACCATGATGTAAGAACAGAAAAGTAATCAACAAAAGGTTTAGCTGCTTGAATTGTTTGTGTAGTCTTTCAAAACATGTGCCACTATGGGTCTGGATAAATGAACAAAAGGTACTTTTGACAACAATCCTCACTTCAACCCGTTTAATTGCAGTAAAGAGTAAATGAAGACAACAATCCATTTTGAGGCAATTCTATTCGAAATCAGTACACCATCAGGCATACCAACCTAATACATGCATCACTTCCCATATTGAGGAGTAGGAGAGTAGTGCTAGGCTGTGAGGATCATTCTTAGCATTTATTCAATTTTAAAGAGTATGTACATCCAAAAAATTGGCCCAAGAATATAATTTAGCAAAACACAAAAGGTGTTCAGTGCCATAAAGAAATCAACATACCTCACCACTGTCAACATTAACAAATGCATCAATGCGCGAAAATCCTTCTAACTGCAGAGTGTTTGCTATAAGTTCAATACGCTGCTTACACCTCACCAAAGCCTCATTACTGATTCCAGAGTGGGAAAATTAACATCAGAAACTAAAGTAAGTGTGTATATATGTAAATTGCGAATCTTGATTGCACAGAGAAAAAACATAATATTTTAGTAAGTAACAATTAAAATAGGACAGCATGCACAACAATGCACAGTAAACAACAATATACTTTGCTCAGGATTGTTCATCATTCTAAATATTACCCTTTTAGTAATTCCGATGTAAAAACATGAACAATCAGATGTATTTTCCAATCACCAATTCTACATAAATGTAGCAATTCGTTGGCCAACTTAAATGGGAGAGAATAAAAGTCGGTATTTTACCCATGGTGCATTTCATTTTGCAGCAGCTTTAGATAAAAGAAGGTTTTCATCTGAATATGGACATCAGTAAAATCTTGAGAAGTTCCCAGCAAAAAAATATATCATGAAAAGTTCAATTTCTCAAATTTCCAGTTCACCATCATAAATGGCATTAGATTAGGAACTCAGGCATAAATTGCACATAAAACTTTTGTTGTAGAAAACAAATTGCCACCAGAAAATGCCGCCTACGGATGTTATTGTGTTACAAAGTAATACCGGACAACCGTACCATGTTTTTTAATGTAAAAACACTGTTATTTGACAATATAAATTCAATTTTAAAAAAAATGCGGCTTGTAACAAACCTCATAATTGATGATGGGGGTGGAGTCAAATTGATGCCAGTTCCACCTGCCAAGGATAATATCAGCCACATTAGAAGAAAGGTGTGCTTTTTTAGAGAAATTAATACAGTAATATACATCTAGCATGCACAAAAGGGAAAAAAAAAAGATTATTAGAGCAAGTATTCTTAAATTGAATTTATCTCAGTTGGGGTTCAGGTTCTTCCTCTTTTCTATAAGCATGTGCACAAATATGGGAATCCAAAATTAAAGAATCTTTTAAAGTACACAGTGGAATTATTCATCATGCTCAAAAGCAACTCTTTCCTTTCTTTTTTCTTTCCTGTAAGGTAAGAATTTCTGTTGATGCAATTCCATTATCAAGGTGTGTGTTTCTGAAGTTAGATTCTCATCCAGAAGTTCTCCAAAACAATACAATCATCATACAGATGTCTTCATCAATTAATGACTTATAATAAGCAAGCAATAAGCAAAAAAGATGCTGAAAATCAAGAATAAATAGTTTCATATAAGCGCTGCCTATAATAATCAAGGGCATGCGCAGTAACCCAAGACAACATGAAAGAACTAAAGAAAGAATGTGCATGCAAATGAGAGAAGATTAAAAACAATTACTGAGGACAAACCTTGAAATTTCTCCTCAAGTGACAATATATCACCAGTTTCTTTAACCGTAACACTAGGGGTCAACGAGTGCATTGACCCACGTTTTCCAATGACACCAACAGTTACTTCTACCCATCTACTATGTCCTTCCCACAAGAAACGATTTGCATTTGAGGATTTGGCTAAGAAAACTATCTCGTTAGTCTCAATAAAAGGTTCAAAGATTAAGCACTCTGGTGGAGGGTTTGGCATCTCAATCACTCCATGTGCCTGTATTGATTAACAAGAGAAACATGCAAAATAAAGCAATGAGAATGAAGATGCACTAAAGGCTAAGAGATGAAATAACATGACCATTGACTTAATAAATCACCTGGCAATCACACATAACATGTACATGGACATTGCTGTCTCATTCAAATTTGTTCCATGTCCAAACCCATACTTTATTTCCTATATCTTTGCCCTTGCACACTTCTAAATTAGTTTTCACTTTCTTCAGTTGTTTTAGTGATTTTTTTATTGGAAAGCAAATATCGATCAAACAACATAAAGCCACCGCTTACTATTTGTCATAAATAGAATGTTATAATATTCAAACTTTTGTAGGAAAATATTACATAACATGTACATGGACATTGCTGTCTCATTCAATTTTGTTCCATGTCCAAACCATACTTTATTTCCTATGTCTTTGCCCTTGCACACTTCTTAATTAGTTTTTAATTCCTTCAGTTGTTTTAGTGTTTTTTTTTTTTTATTGGAAAGCAAATATTGATCAAACAAAATAGAGCCACCAATTACTATTTGTCATAAACAAAATATTATTAGATTCAAACCTTTGTAGGAAAATGTTTCTGTAATAATACAGGAAGAAAGAACCACACTTCGAGAGTCATAGATAAAAATGAATCCACCAATACCTTGGATAAACTATTCGAAGGAATTCGAAGTAGGCAATCCTCCAACGCTTTTACATACAATGCAAGGTCCCCAGCACAGCTATATAAATGGAAATATGATTGACCACAAAAGGACAATAGAATTTAATAACAAGCATGAACATATAACCACTTTTTAATGTTCTAGATATTAAATAGCGAACATAATAACAGCAACCAACTTGTCTACACCTACCATAATCTTGCCACCCCAGTCGAGCATCCATCCCTAGCTGGTTTAACACACAATGTTTCACACAGAAGCTTTGAGGTCAAGTCATGCCAAATGTCAGGTGTGGGCATATCTAGTAGGTCCTCTTTCTTCCAGACATCCTTATTTATGGTAAGAACACCACGTTCTGCAAGCTGTTCATCCACACAAATGAAATGTTTGTTATATATGTATATCAGATCAGATTGGCGCCTATGGCTGCGAGATAAAGCTCTATGGCAATATCCTAAAAAGATAGGTGTTTCTGACTTCCAATATCCTGGATATTTTTCATTATGCAAATCGATCAGCCTGGACAAATTGAAATATTACGAGATGCAAAAATAATATACAGCCATAATTATAAAAGCATATATCTGGATAACCCGCTTGTATTCAGTGACATATTTTGTAGTTACCATACATTTTTAAGAGCAAGAGATGTAGCAACTTTGTCCATGCATGTCTTGGAAGCCATAACGCCAGGTCCTAGAGTTTTTAAAAAAGCACATGAGCAATTTTATATTGCTGACATAAGCCAAGGTTTATTACCAAATTTTTCAACAGGAAATACCAGTATAAGGAACTCGTTCAGCTTCTAGCAAAGACTGAAGTGTACCATCTTCACCAATGCCTCCATGCACTGTCCATAAAATAAACAACAAATAAAAGAAATGAACTCATAAATCATTCTCTCAAAAGCAAAAAGGAAAGGAAAACAATCTCTTTAATCAATTGCAGTCAGTCAAATCCTCGACCACAATTTTTTCTACAAAAATATTAACTAGTTTTCTAGTACCCTTTATTCCTATGCTTTAACCATGCTTAACTAAATAATGCTCTAGATATTTATATATTAATTCCTTCTTGCTATAGATTCAATTTTAAACATGTAAAACTTGGGATCCAAGCACGATGAATTCTATAAGCAATCGCAGCGCCTTACCATTAGTTGAGTTCTATGCTGACATAGTAACTACATGCTACACAAAAAATGACCGTGCATTAATGAGATTGAAGATTCTTTACATCACATCAAGAAAATTTTGGTTCTATTCACTCTGCTGGCCTCAACCAATGTTCCCACTGCATTGACATTGGCCACTGCCTTCTCCCCTTTTTTCAATACTTCCCGAAGTATTAGCATACACACAAGTCTGAAGAGGTAAAGGATCAAAAAGAAAGAGAACTGACTTGTTAAAATATACCAATGTCCAAAAATATATGAGGTGCGGATGCACCACTATTATTGAAAATGCACAAATAAGTATGTTACTCTTATAGATTTTGCACTTGATATTATGTACTCATCCACTGAGTAATCTAACAAAAGATATGAAGACTCTTTAAGAGCATAACTTTCACTTACACATCACTGAAAAGTGCAGAGCACCCTTACACATAACCCGGCACAAATAATGTTTGTTCAATAAAGATCTTGCACTTATTGAAACAACTTTTTTTATTTTCTGATAAGCAAATAGGAAAAACTTGTTAAAACCAAAAAATCCTAACAGTGCAATACATCGATAACTTTTGATGCAGAATTTGAAAAGATTTCCAGAGGACTTGGTTGAATTCAGGATAGTAAATAGAAGTAAATTTTCCATTTTCATTGACATAATGAATCCGAATATTGGGAAAAATAAATCCTTAACGAAAGAGTCCTCAACAACCTTGCATCTGTGGAAATTTGACATGCCAAGTATGGTTCACAATGGCTGCATTTGAGTGGAAAAGCTCACAATATATAAAGCATCATCTCAACACCCCAAATAGGGATTAAAGTACTGTAACAGCCACATTCTATTAACAAAACAGTAAAACCATATACAAGTATTCCTTGAGTTAGTAAAATGGCAACATAGAACCTGCAATGAAAACTGTTGCCTGAACTTCCTTGGCTAGCTTGATCCACTGCTCCAATGAAAATCTCTGTGGAGGGTCATCAGATATGTCAAATCCTGCAAACCAACTGTGTTTCTTCAAGCCTTCCATGAGATCATCCATCACTATGCTCCGTAATTGAGATGTCAATGCAGCCCGAGCAGGTACAATTGCCTCTATGCATGCATCAAAAACTTCTTCAGTTGTATGTCTCAACACAAGAGAGTACCTGTACCAAAGAAAAAACACAATATTGATTAAGATCCACACTATTCCTAGGAACCAAGCACATGCTAATAACTATGATACCATTTCCAACAATTCTTGTCCATACTAAAATATGAAAAATCTTTTGAAAACTAGAACAACAGAGTCATCTGGGTACGTAGTAGAGAGGGTGGAGGAAGGGCCAACTCTTATCAAGAAACACACACAGCTGAATTCACTATTATATGTATAGTTGGGTAAATTGAATAAGAATATGATAATTATCAAAATCATAGGCATCATCAGAATCATAGTGGCAAATACCCTACAGATATCAGTAGCACGATCACCGCACCAGCACCATTATATCATCATTACAAGCACTATAATTATGATATCCTTCTTCCATTATACATAGGTGCCTAGGTAGTCGATAAGATGGGTGTTAGAGTTTGTCCCACATCACTAATAACTAGTGTATGAGATTTGTGGCCTCTCCATTCATTGCTAATTAGTTTTGAGGTGGATGTATCAAGGCTTTGAGAGGCTTTTGAACAAGAAACTCGTTGGTTTGTTAATTGATTCTTTCTTTGTTTGTGTCATACATGCATTGTTATGCCTTTGATTCTGTCAATATGCCCCTTCACCTACGAGTAGGTGGTCGCACATGCGGGGGGAGTGTTAGAGCTTTTCCTTCCTACGTTGGCAAATTAATGCCTCCTTGACTTGTTTACAAGACTTGTTGTGGGTCTCTTAACTTATGACCAATTAATTTTGAGATGGATGCTTTAATGATGGGATTCAATAAAATTTCTACAACTCACAGGGCAGAGCCCCTACTCTTAATAGGCACAAGTCCCTATGCAATGAAACCAACTGTGTTTATCACAAAGTTTTTGTATGGGAAACATTGTGATGGATGTACTGTGATGATTGTGTATGCAAGAAGTGGACACCTCAATGTCTTTTTGTGTGTATAACAAACAATACCTAAAACAGGTTTGTGTGACAGCTCACAGCTGACAGGTCAAATACTATAGAACTCAGGGTTATAGAGGCCAGGGCGTATATGACCACCAATGCTCAGATAAATTATCAGGATATAGTATATGTGCAGAAAAATAAAAGCTACACTTACGGTAATGACCAAACTGTCCTGGAGCTGACATCCATTTCCTTGTTATCAGAGTTCATAGCAGATGAATAACCATTTGCAGGGGCCAGCAAACATGGGATTACCTCAAGCTGATCGATATGATTAACCCTCATCAATAAAACAATACCAGTAGATTCAAGAGATTTTAGAAAGTCAGAGAAGCATTTGAATTAGCGAGCAAAGCTTTTAGCAGGACCACATGTGGCCTCATGATCCTAAGCATGGAAGTTGGAACCCATTGAGTTGCAAAGAGTTAGGTATAACCTTACATTAAGTTGCCCCAAAACTCCAATAAAAAAGATGAACAAAATTTACCAAATAATAATCAGCAAAGTATCAACAGTTGTCGGGTTCCATCTTACAGTACTCAAATGCAAGTTTCTAAACTTCCACATTGTTTTGAATTGATTGAAAGAATAGTCGGAAAATCTTAATATTTTTGTTCCTGATAATGTAACGCTATAGATTCTCAAGGGAAAATTCATACCGACAGAAAACTTGATGTATAGGAGAGAAAAGAAAGCATTCCAAATTCTAACAACTGCCCACCATTATGTCAGTTGCACATCATATAAATCAACTCCCGATATCTGAAGACTTACATCATCAAATGCTTGCAAATTGAGCCAAACATTAGTTCCGCTCATGAGAGATACTTGCCGTTCAGATGTGTCTCCACCAAAAATGACAAAAACTTTGCGAACACCTTGACATTTGGCAAATGCTTTCTTGAGTTGTGAAGATTTTGATCTTTTGAGCAAGGGACTTGATATACTAATTTTTGAGGCAAGACAAGGAAACCGTAAGCAAGCACGTTGGATAATGGTTCGGAGGATATTTGAATGCGAAAATCCAACCTAGACACAAGAAAAGATCCTCTTCAAGGCAATAATTGCATAAGAAATAGTGGCATAATGGTGGATAACTGGTTAAGAAAAGAAAAGCTTCTTCTAGTGGCATATATCTTTGAACGTTACTAATGAAACCATTATCTTATCTCAATTCCAAACCAAGAAGAGTTTTTTTTTTTCCCAGTTGAACGACATGTTTAAAGTTCATAGAACATCAGGATATTGCAAATGAATTATAAAATAGATTGGTCGAATATTTATCCCGACTCCTGAAAAATCATCAGTCACAAGAACTCCTTTTTGATGTGACATAAAATTGGAATAAATGTACCTTAGAAGCTTGCTGAAATAGGAAACTGGTTTGCTCCATCCCACTAATCTAGAGACAGAAAGGGAAGTATGACTAACATAAGATGCAAGAACCCTAACAGCAATAGTACATATGGATATAATCAGACAGCTAGCTCACCAAGTTGATATCAGTAAATATTATTGAACCCAATTGAGTCCTCCCAAATTTAGTCCCCATTGAAGATGATATATGAGAGCAAGATGGCAAAAACCAACCATCAATTCTAGCAAAATCACGTAGACCAAGCCGTTGAAATAATAGAGAAGCTCCTTCACGGATACTTTGAATCACATCTACAGGGAAACGAGGTGGAGTGTAATAAGCCACCTGTGAAGCATGTGTAACCCTGTCAGGCAGGTAAGATAATGAAGACAAACTTAGACAATATGGATTCCCTCTTCAAGGGAGCCAAAATGAGCATCCCTGCACCCACTTTTTTGGCTCCCTACATAGCATATACAGTTCAAATCAAAAGTCCACCAGCGATATTAAACAAACCAGTAGTGAAGGCATACAAGATTAGAGTAAAGAAAGAGACCATTACCACCATGTGCTTAATTATATTACTGGCACTAACTGCATCACTACTTATATGTTGAATGTGACAACCAGAAAAAAATTATAGATGTATTTCAAAAGCACCATTGCCAAACCTGCTGTGTAGGAAGGTACTTCCTGCGGTAATTGAATATTGCATCCTTCTCTCTTACATCGACACTTCCGTGAAATTGAAGTTCCACCTAGTCATTGAGGCCATCAAATTAAACAAAAAGTCCCTTCTTAAAATACGGCAATCAATGTGAAGATAATTGTACTAGGAAGGTAATGTAAGCTGGCAGATGGGTTTAGAATTATGTGTGGCAGACCCAGGCGAAGCACGGGATTTATATCCCTGTCCCACCCCTCCCCCAGTCCTCACCCTCTATGCCTATCCCGCTTAGTTGTCTATTAGTGCTGGAGAGAGAAAAGGATAGGAAGATAAAAGATTAGAGAAGAGGAAATGTAAAGTTAAAGTGAGAGATTTGGGAGATAAGATGGTAATAGAGGAAACTGATTTTCTAATTTAATAGCCCAAAATTTGCTAGTTAAGGAAATGAGAAAGGAAGGATTCTCTGGCTCTCTTGCCACGCTTAAATTGTTACAAGTGGATTCCACTTCTATAGTGAATGAGATATAACTACAAATCAAATACTTACTACCTGCTTTTAATCTGATTTCTTAAAATTCTTTTACATTTCACATATTAATTCTTCTTCTGCGGTGTCCAAGCATGAAGTCAGACCATAAAACAGAAATCAAGAGGATTTATCAGTTATTCAAGTTTATGAGTCTGGTAATGTAACCTACAATTGTCATAGGCGACCAGATCAATGCTTGTGAGATTTAGAAAAGACTTGCCCCTTGTGTCAGTTTCTCCCAACATCTAAACTCCATTCTAAGAGAATAAATGATATTTTTTTACTACAAACAACATCATGTAAGGGCCAAAACAATTGCGACAAGAAGACTTGAACACATGATGTTTCAAAAACAAAACTGGAACTATGACCTCTCCCTAGGTTCCTACGTCATTTGGTGGCCATTGTTAAAGTGCAGCGCTAGGATGATGATCTCAAAGGCTCGAACCTTATAATTAGGGCAATAGACCAGCCATAAGAGAAAACTATGAAAGGATGATGGTAAACTCAAGTTCAAAATTAGGAAATACGCCTTGAAGTAAGGGGAAAAAAAGGAAGGAAACAAAGGAAAGAGAAAAACTCCATCACAGTGATAAAAAGAAAGAACAAACTCAAGACTGTCATTAAGGATCTACAGATCAACAAAAGTGGAAGAAAGGTAGTAATCCAACAACAGAAAAGTCTACAAAACCCTTTGCATAATCTGAAGCAGAACACAGGATTGGTCTGACAATTCTATTTGTTCTGAAGGGAAAACCAAAAATATATAATTTACAAAAATGATAATACTTTATTCTTTACACATATTCAATGTGTATCCATAAAGAAGTGAACCACACAAATTAAAAATATTTTGTAGTTTCTTTCTGCATTTTTGTGGCCCCAAGTATCTAAAAATTATTGCAATACAGTGAAGAAAATGAATTCAGGACACTGAGAATTCATGCACCTCTGTTGGAAGTAGTACAACAGGCTGGCAGTCGAAACCAGAACCCACATCAAGTACGATGGCTGTAAATTCGGTCCCTCCTTCAAGAAAAAATTCAACAATGACTTTGTCGTCAATGCCCTGCCAAAAAGAAAAGGTATTGGGTAGTTCCTCGAGTATCCCTGGAACTTTAAAGCATACTTTTCTGGCTCAAATCAGAAGGCCAGTCCTCCTGGCCTGAAAGTTTTGAAAATGTGAACCAAATCCAACAAATAACAAATTTTAAACTTTATCTTCAGTTCAGGTTGTTCCAAATTTCACTGTAATTCCCAAATATTCCAACCAATTTTTTTTCCGAAGACAGTTGTGTGTCAAAATAATGCTTTAATTTAGAAAAGACAAAAATACTTCTGAAATGATTTCATTTGCTTTCTTTAGAGAATCAGTAACACCATAAGCAACTGTAACTCCAATGCTGGACCCTGCTCTTGTTGGTTTTACCTGCAATCATGTAAGGCAAAAGCTTGGAATGTTAAAAAGGAGTAATGGACAGTTTTACAAACATTATGGCCAAATTAGAAATAAAACACAAATGAATAAACCTCACCACCACTTTCCCCACTTTAGAGTCCACTTGATTTCTTGAAAACCACTCTGATAAGCCAGATTCGTCCAATTCACTTCCCTAAAATCCATTGTGTTCGTGTCAGGAAAGCAAACACATGGAAGTTTAGAAATGGACAAAATGGAAATCAAACCTCACAATTTGTTCCTTCACAAAGACAATGGCAAATGCATTGAATCGAAATTAAAAACTCATAATCCACTTCATCGTCCAAAGGATAAAATAACTGCATTCAAATCACATTACAATAGTGGCACAAGCTCATGCCCATACCCAAAAAAAAAAACTGATCTTGCCTAAAGGACCAGGCCCAGAGCTACTACAGAAATTTGAAATAGCATTGTCGTAATTTACTAACTATGATATAAAAGTAGTGCAGTATATAAGCAAATTTTGCACTGCCAGACCATCAAAAACATTTGGACTGTACCTTGATGGAGTGAGAAAAGGTTATATTCAACTGAAAATCCTAGCCACATAACATGAATCAAAATTCATGATGTAGCTAAAAAAGAACAACTTTAACTAGCTATTAAGATGGCAGATATATTTTGGAGCAAGACAGACCAAAGTACTCATGATCATCTACAAAATTTCTGATCAACTCCCAACACAGAGAGAGCACCAGAATCTTCCAAAGATCAGAACCAGCAAATGTCAAAATAAATCTGGAAAAAAAGGTACATCAAATAAAAGTAAAAGGAGTTGCCAAATCAAAAGAACGTTTGAAGTGGATGCCAGCTATCTGAACATATTCAAGAGATCGTTGAAGGAAAAAAATGGTTCATGGTTTCTCTAATTCAGAAAGGGGGGTGAACTCCGAGTCCGGGAAGAGGCATCACACAAGGATTATTTTCAATTTTATATGAATTTCATGTTAAGAGTATAATAATAACGATAGTTTAGGCATTTTCTTTATGTTGTGTTGCCCTACTATATAAGAGTTATTTTGTGTATTTCTAGGTTTAATGTGTTTATTACAGAATTGCTTCTAGTCTAATAATATAATCACTTTCTCTTCTCTATTCTCATTGATTAATTCTATCATGGTATCAGAGCATGGTTTCGATCCAAAATATATATTGTAGCACCACAATAATTTAGTTGTAGGAAGAATATATTCTTGGGTTGTGTGATTTGAGGGCTAGTGATAAGTGGGTTGCTATTTTGTGGTTCTAAGGGGCTGTGAACAGTGCTGGAACACTGTTCATGAGGTGAACAGCCCAAAAACACTGTTCATATCGTGAACAGTGCCGATATTACTATTCATGCTGTGAATAGTGCCGAATTTCGATTTTTAGTGCCCTTTTTTTTTTGGTATATTGCCTCCTTGGTATTTGATTGGATGCTTTGAAGTATTTTGAACTGGTTTTTGATCCAAAGGAATAAGATTTTTGACTGATTGAGCTTGTGCAGAATTTTAACTTCGGTTATTGCTCTGTTGCTTCGTTGTTGCTGGCTTTGAATATTCTTCTCTCCTTGGCTTGCTGGAAGACTTTGTTGCCTACTTGGTTTTATCTCTGTTCGCTGCTATTGTTCTGCTTTGGGTCTGTTCGCTGCTTTGTGATTGCTATTGATTGGCTATTGTTCTCCAGTTGGGACTGGTGCTAATTTGGGCTTCCCTCTGCTAGGCTATTTGATTTTCTGGGCAGTTTGGTTGTGGTTTCTGTTTAGTTGTTAATTGATATTTAGAGTTATTGCTTTATTTGGTGGCTACTAGGTTTTAACCGTGGATTGTTCTTTTGGTGTTATTGTTTTATTTGGTGGCTGCTGGAGTTTTGACTACTTTGATTTTGATACAATGGCAAGTGGAAATTCTGGTGCTCTCACAGTTGCTTCCACTATAGGTTCGTTTAGTTCAAGCCCTTCAGGTATATCTCGCACCGCCTAGGTCTTTGACTCAGGTGCCACACATCATATGACCAATGACTCTTCTTTGTTTGCATCTATAATTTCTCCTCCATCTTTATCTGTCCTTGCTGCCAATGATTCTCAAATGTCATTAGCTGGTGTTGGGACAATTATTTCTTCCAACCTTATACTTTCAAATGTCTATTATATTTCTCAACTTACTTTGAATTTACTTTCAGTCAGTCAACTATTTGATTCTAAATTTTTGGTTCATTTCTCTTCCTCTGATTGTGTTGTGCAGGATCCACGGTCCAAGAAGCTAATTGGGACTGGCTGTAGAAAGGGTGGGTTATATGTGTCAGAGGAATTTCATGTCCCAGATGTTGTTTCTGCTGCTTCTACTGTTGATTTATCTTCATTTCATTTGAGTCCAGAGTCATCTAGTTTTTATTTATGGCATTCTCGCCTTGGTCATATTTCTTCTTCTCGTTTAAAATTTTTAGCTGCGATTGGTAGTTTGGGTAGTTTAGCAAGCTATGACATTTCTGATTGTAGTGGATTCAAGTTGGCTAAATTTAGTGCAATAAAAGTGTTACTTGTTCTCTTGCATCATTTGATCTTGTTCACTCTGATATATAGGGACCGGCTCCTATTCCTACACAAGGAGGGTCTAAATATTATGTTTCATTTATTGATGATTACACGAGGTATTGTTGGGTATTCTTGATGAAACGTCGGTCTGAATTCTTTTCCATCTTCACTACATTTCGTAACATGGTACACACTCAATACTTCGCAGTCATTAAATATTTTTGGTGTGATCAGGGAGGTGAATATACTCTTACTTCTTTTCATGATTTATTAAAATCTGATAGTATACTTTTTCAATCCTTTTGCACTGACACACCTGAGCAGAATGGTGTTGCCGAAAGAAAATACCGTCATATTCTAGAAACAGCACGCTACCTTCTTTTATCAGCACATGTTCCTAGCTCATTTTGGGGGGAAAGCAGTTTTGGCAGCAGTTCATTTGACCAACACCATTCCTACTATTCTCACTTCTAGAGTCTCTCCATTTGAAAAGTTATGTGGTAAGCCACCTAACTATTTTTCTTTACGTGTGTTTGGTTGTACTTGTTTTGTTTTGCTCCCTAGTATTTTTTGTACCCAACTTTTTGCCCGTTCAGCTTTATGTGTATTTCTTGGTTATGGTGAGGGTCAAAAAGGATATCGTTGCTATGATCCCATCAGCCGCAAACTTTATGTATCTTGTCATGTTGTTTTTATGGAGCATATTCCCTTCTTTTCAATTCTGTCTAGTTCTTCCTCATTGACTAAGTCTGACCTACTATACATTGATCCATTTCCTACTAATGTTCCTCATGACGCATATGTTAGTGATATACCTGTGTCAGATTCTTCATCTTCTGAGCCGACTATTATTACTCGTCCCCCTATTGTGCATACATATGTTCGCAAGACTCCAGTTATCTCCTCTCCTGATACAGTGCCTCCCTTTTCTTCTCCAGCCGCCCAATCAGGTTCAGACACTGTGGATCATACCCCACGCTATCCTCAGCGCTCTCGCAAATGTCCAGACAGGTTTGGTTAGAGTAATACTTGTTATTCTTCTGACTTTTGTTCTTTTCTTACTTCTATTCATTCTCTATCTGAACCCACCTCCTACAAGGAGACTTTACTTGATCCACTTTTGAAACAGGCTATGGATGAGGAGTTGTCTACCTTACATAAGTTCAGAGCTTGGGAGCTAGTGCCTTTAACACCTGGTAAACGCACCATTGGTTGTAAGTGGGTTTATAAGATAAAAATCAAGTCGGATGGTTCTTTGGAACGATATAAAGCTCAAATAGTAGCCAAGGGGTTTGCTCAGGAATATGGTCTAGATTATGATGAGACTTTTGCTCCAGTTGCCAAGATGACTACTGTTTGCACCGTGATTGCAGTTGCTGCCATTCGACAATGGAGTTTGTCTCAAATGAATGTGAAAAATGCATTTCTACATGGAGATTTAACTGAAGAGGTTTTTATGACACCTCCCCCTAGATTATCTTATAGTTCTAGTCAAGTATGTCGACTTCATCGTACCTTATATGGTCTTAAACAGGCTCCCAGGACATGGTTTGCCAAATTTTTTTCAGTTATCTGTGATTGGGTTTTCGTGCCAGTGACCATGATTCTGCTCTCTTTTTACAGTCTACCTCAGGTTCTATTATTCTCTTACTATATGTTGATGATATGATTATTACGAGTGATGACACTGCTGGCATATACTTATTGAAAACCCAGTTGCAAAACCATTTTGAGATGAAAGATTTGGGACAGCTTAGATATTTCTTGGGTATTGAGATTGCTTCTTCTCCCAAAGGATATCTTCTCTCTCAGTCCAAGTATGCTTCAGATGTTATTCAACGAGCTCATTTACCAAATAATCGGACAATTGACACACCTTTAGAGCTCAATGTTTGTTTCTCTTCGTCTGACGGTATTCTCTTGTCTGATCCAACCCTTTATCGGACTATTGTTGGGAGTTTAGTATATCTTACAGTCACTCGTCCAAATATCTCTTATGCTGTTCACATTGTAAGTCAATTTTTTGCCTCACCCACCACTATTCACGGGGCTGCTGTTCTTCGCATTCTTCGATATCTCCATGGTACTCTACATCAGAGTTTACTATTTCCTCACTCTTCATCTATGGAACTCAAGGCTTACTCTGATATTGACAGGGCTGGTGTCTCTACGGATCGCAAGTCCACCACTAGTTTCTGCTTGTTTCTTGGGGATTCTCTTATTTCTTGGAAAAGCAAAAAACAAACTGCGGTTGCTCGTTCTTCTGCTGAAGCTGAGCATCGTGGTATGGCATCTACTACAGCTGAGATAGTCTGGTTACGATGACTCCTTGCTGATCTTGGCATTTCGGTATCATCTCCTACTCCTATGTTCTGCGACAATACCAATGCTATTCAGATTGCTCATAATTCGATCTTCCATGAGCGCACAAAACACATTGAGATTGATTGTCACTTTGTGCGTCATCATCTGCAGCAGGGAACCATCACTCTCCCCTTTCTTCCTTCCACAATGCAGATAACGGATTTTTTTACGAAGTCTCATACCCTAGCACGTTTTAGATTTCTTCTTGGCAAACTCTTGATGTTTTCTACCACATCATGAGTTTGAGAGGGGGTGTTAAGAGTATAATAATAAGAATAGTTTAGGCATTTTCTTTATGTTGTGTTGCCCTACTATATAAGGGTTACTTTGTGTATTTCTAGGTTTAATGTGTTTATTACAGAATTGCTTCTAGTCTAATAATATAATCATTTTCTCTTTTCTATTCTCATTGATTAATTCTATCATTTCAAACAAAGAACATTATGACTACAACTAAGGAATATCTGTTTTGTAGGCTTGAAGCCCTAACAATTTTATTTTTGTATTTGCAAGATGCCATGATAAGAAGAATATAGCAACTCCCAGACAGTACCAGTATGAAATAACGAGCAGTCACAAAAGAGAGAAAGAGAGAGAGAGAGCAAAAGAAGAAGAAGAAGAAGATGATGGCAGTGTTGATTCTGAGAATATAGAGCACGTAATAAAATACGGATTAAAATGAAAAGGGGAGAAGGAACAACAAAGGATAATGACTACAGAATCAAAAGTATAAGTTAATAGTACGGAAACTTCTTGGGGATAATACCTGCAATAAGAAACTGGGTACTGTTATAAAACCTTGTCTGTTGAGCTGCAAAGAGGCGTCATACTGCCAATGATTAAAAGGAAAAGAACAATTAGCAGTGGCTTATCGAGGAAACAGCTAATCTGGTAAGCATTGATACATACTTTGATTATAAAGGCTTTCTTCACATTAGCATCCATGTATCACCTCAAATTTCACATTTTCCAGGACCAGCTGGGAATTATTTTATCTTTTCTCCCCTTTCATTTTTGGGATGAGTGTCTTAAGGACCAGATGTAATTTTGATGTCCCAATAGTATTCATGCAAATGAAAGAAGGAACAAAAGCATTTCCATTATGTGGTTAGGTGACATATTGGTACCATCTCCATATTTCAAGTTACTTTTAGCAGATTGACAGGGAAGAGGCACTCCCAAAATTAATGCTTCAAACTAAGAAGCCTCATTCGAGCATTTTAAGACTTTTAGAATATTTATCCACATAAGACCTTTTGCTTGTTCCTACAGTACCTTTTAGAAATTCTAAAACTTACCAAAACTAATTTCACACATAAACAATTACATGTTATTTATAAATTTTTTATAATGAACTAGTATGTGAAAATAAAAAGATTTTTAATCTTTCAGCAGGTCCGCAGAGAGCAAAAGCGTGAAACATAGAGCTCTAAACCAACTAATAACGCCACAACTTTACTCCCTAGTATCATCACCCTTTTTTGACCAAAAAGAGGGCACAATCCATAGACATATATGTTAAGCGAGCATGTGTGAGTACGCATATGCAATCTAATTCTTGAACGGCCTCACTAATTGTTAGTCCCTCACATGTAATCATTGTGCCTAGGAAGTCGTGACTACATGTAAGGCTAAGGTACAAGATTTCTCCAAGATATATAACTTTATCTGAGATTGATAGCATATCTACAGAAAGAAAGAAAAAAATAAGGTTACCTTGTCAAATGCTTTACGACATTCGTTTGACCGTGTTCCAACAAATGGGATATTGAACTTCTCCAGTAGCTCCTGAAGATTCCATCATATGCAGAAATATCATGCAAGCTACTACCACCTTTTGGCTAAAAAATAGTCACTGTCTATGAAGTTTGTCAAGGTTCACTAGATGCACACCTGAATGCCACCATCTTCACCAAAACGACCATGTATAACAGGGAAAACTATGTCCACAGAGGCAGCAAGGTGTTCTGCAAAGTCGGACAAAGACTGGAAACCTTGGGCCAGGCTGTAAAAATACAAATTAGGCCTTTCTAAATTTCACAGGAACATATATTGGAACAGATAATTAAGTCTAACAGCCTACCTTTCAAGTTTGAAATCAAAATCTGCAGGAGTGTTTGAGTATACCTATAAATAAGATACAAAAAGGAGAAAAAAACCTTAAATTCAGCGTGCTGCAAAAGTTTCCTGATGACCATAAGAATTGATTCTTTGAAAAATAAATACTCAAACATGAGCTCCTTGATCAGAAACCAACTTAAAAACTCCTCACTATAACAAACTTGGTCAATGCAAAAAATCAGTCACAGCCATGGACGGGAAGTTCAGCCCAAAATAGGATCCAAAAGAAGGATATTGTATATTTTAAGAAGATCAGGTTGAAAAGTTTGTGATGTGGACATGACAAATCTAGGAAAACACTTCTTGAACCAAGAATAAGGCATGCGTTAGATATTTAGATAGATAGTTGCTGCAACATGGAATACATAAAATAGATAAGTACTATATGTTCTACAGAACTATTCATGGGTACCAGAGACAATATGCCTCACTATCAAAAAGATATAAAGACCAGCCATGCAAATGGAGCAAAAGTTAAGCCCAAGGATATCTTCATTCTAGGTGTCAAACACCTTGATCAAGAAAAGAATATGAAAACAAAACCATAATAGACTTTTGAAGAGAAACTAAACCTAAAACTAGGCTTAAAACAAGAATCACAAATTCTGTACACAGGTTATAGATCCTAAAATCTTTCCCACTATATACCAAAGCATTAAAAGTCATTACAACCAGTGCACATCAATCAAATTCTTCCATGCTGGGTTTGGCAGCATTGAATAGAGGCCCTGGAACTGGTTTTATCCAATTCCTATGGGAAAGCTTAAATTGCATGCAATCAAAGGTAGCATTAATAACTGAGTTATTAGCTTGAAGACATAACAAGGAGTACACAATTGAAACAGTATGCACATGGCTGCCCTCTGTCAGTATAACCCCAATCAAACAGTTGTCAATATTGTTTACAGCAAGGGTATTGTATTAGAAAACAATGCACGATGTACAGACCTGAGCAGAGGATATTGCAAACGCGTTGAGGTTACAGTCAATGTAATAGCAGCTTACATGCAAATCATCCCCCTGTCACAAAACAAGTAAGTTATTACACCAGTAACATATCATTTCATACCTTCAAAACACCCAAACGCAGTCCCGCCATTGCAACACACTTATAAAGAGCACATGCACAAAAACTCTGTCATCATCACTCTCTCATTGATGGCAAACATGACACCAAATGCTCCGTTCAGCTGCTGATAACACTTAAAAAGGAGTTTTTGTTGGTTTTTTTTATGGAGTCTAGTTTGTATATGTGATTTGGATGATGACCCGACCCGAAGTAATGTTGTAGATTGTACAGCCGATCTCTGTATTCAACTCTCTCAATAGTGAAATCCCTGCAGCTTCGTGGACGTAGGCAAATTGCCGAACCACGTAAAATCTATGTCTCGTTCTTTCTTATTTCTTATTGCTTTATATTTTTGATTTGCTCTTCGATTGTGTGTGTTTGTTAGTGGATTTAAATCGTGTTAAATCCCAACAGTTTTCTATTTTGTATGTCTAGAAAAAGAAAAACTTCTACGTTGACAACTTGAAAAGACAAATGGTCAACTCAACTCGTCTTGGACTAAAATCAAGTTGATTCTTTCGTTTTCCAAGGAATCAAAGAGCAAATAAAGTACAACACCACATTAACTTTCCATTTCCCCACTCCAATTTTGACTGCTATAGTTCTCCATTAAATCCAACCCATTATTCGACTTCAAGTGATATAACGCCAAAAGTTATCTGATACTACCACTAAAGAATTAATACAAAATAAATATACACACGCGCAAGCATATGTTTACCTGTATATGATCGAGGACTGATCTTGCGGAATTCAAAGATATCCCACGCTCAGCAGACGGACCTCCGCAGATGAGTCCAACTCTCAGAACCCCCCCTTTCTCGCTACTCTCGGCACCTTCTCCCTCAACAACCCGATCGTCCACAACCTCGGTATGAGTACTGGAACTTGCCACTCGAAGTCCACCACAATGACCCTGCCTCAAACTCCTCTTCACTGATAAATTCAACGGCAAAGTGGAAACACTCCTCTGCGTGGAAAAGAGAGAACTCTCCGACGGCGTGTCTCTACGACGACGGAGCTCGTGGAAGATGTTTGAAGTGTATGTAAGAGAAGCCATGGAAGGAGGAAAGAGTGAAATTACGGCTTATGATTTGTGAGGAGAGAGAAAGAGAAGTTGTAGAGTGCAGTGGGCATGGCGATGAGTGATCGTCCATTATAAAGAAAGGCCTCGGACGGCAATACACGATCTGCGTCTTCGTCCCTTTTCGTCCGTTGTAAGCTTTGCTATTTTCCTTCTATTTTTATTTGATTAAGGAAAAATTATACAGACCCTTATAATTGTAACTTAATCATTTAAATTCCTAATATTTAAAATATTACATACAGACCATCTAAAATTTGTATACGTATAACACTTAGACATTTATTGTAAATATATCAGTTAATAAATTATATTTAGACCCCTTAAAATTTATAGGTATATAATACTTAGATCCCTTAAGTTTAAAATATTATACTTATACCAAAAATACTCCAATCAAAAATAGAATATCAAATATTTTAAATTTTACAATTAAATTTCATGTTCTATTGTATCATTTATTAAAATAAAATGAAAAATAAAATTTTAATTTTTTTTTAAAAAAATCATATTAGTATATAATTACACTATCTATTGGAATAAAACTAAAAAATCAAACAAGGGGTCTAACTCATGCATAATAGATCATGAATTTTATATCCAAAATTCATGTTATATTATGTTATTTATTGAAATAAAATTAAAATTAAAAATCTAATTTTTTAAAAAAAATTATAGTTAGTATATAATTATATTATCTATTAGAATAAAACTAAAAAAATTAAACAATTGGTGAAACTGTAACATACACAATATCTTTTAGATTTAATTAGAATAGTTTAGTATTTTAATTTCGTCGTTTGAACGACCAAATTAAATTTTAATAGACAATATAATTGTATACTAATTACGTTTTTTAAGAAAAAAATAAATTTTATTTTTAAATTTATTTCAATAAATATACAATAGAACATGAATTTTGGTTGTAAAATTTAAAATATTTGATATTTTATCTTTCATTAGAGTATTTTTTTGTCTAAGTATAATATTTTAAACTTAAAGAATCTAAATATTTTATACTTATAAACTTCGGGGGGGTCTAAGTATACTGATATATTTACGACAAGTGTCTAAGTGTTACGCGTGTACAAACTTTAGAGGGTTTGTGTGTGATATTTTAAATGTCAAGGGTATGAGTGATTAAGTGACAAACTTTAGAGGGTCTAGATATAATTATTCTATCGATTAATTAATTAACAGTAGGAAAACATTTAGACGGATACATACCCCTGTAGTTTCACAGTACCCCTATATTTTCTATTAATTACAATTGATCGAATATCAATTTTTTAAATTGTAGAAAAACCCAAAATCAGATTTATGTGGTGTTAAATGATGAAGCAATTTAGTTACCCTCTCGCCCATAACCAAAACTCATATACCATAATTTTCCTGTTATATGCTCCCCTTTCCTCTTGTAGTAACGTTATTGGGATTTACTCAAAAAAAAAAAAACGTTATTAGAACCTAAAAAATGGACTTAATTTACTAACTTAACAATGTGTTAAGTAATACAATTTCAATGAATAAATTCAACAATTATAATTGCAATAATTCAATTGGACCACCTCACTACAAGAACCTTAGATCAACAAATTAGGCTGGTTTTTTTTAGTTTTGATAATATTACTTTCCTATTTTATGTTTTTTTTTTTAAGAAAGGGCGACATTATTTAATGAACTCCTCACCCATTTGACATAACATAACCACACATCTCCGTGTAAAAAACAATTGCCTAACAAAAGCAATATGAGCGTCACGGAAACAAATTGCAACAAAGCTACGATGAACTAGGGAGATGCATGGAGGGGTTTTGACAATGGAGAAGATCGAGTTTAGGGGAATTTGCAACGAAGGAAAGGATCTAGGGGGTTGCAGTGGGGATTAGTGCTTCGATGGTAGATGAGAGGGCTGTAATTGGAGGAGGTGAGTTATGGTTGGGGGTGTTACTAGAAGGGTGAGTGATAAGTCAATTGTTGGTTTAGTTTTTTTCGTGAAAGAATATTTTTTTGTGTGTGTAGAAAAGTGAGAATTTTAAGGATCAAAATAAAGACGTTGGTAAACCCCGTTGTTGACTAATAAAGGACCATTCAACAAATGTGAAATGAAACTCCAAGAAGTAGTTTAAGTAATAATAAAGATGCGTTGTAAATCTAGATATCCTGAATTTAAATTCTGATAATCTTTTAGAGTCAAGTCATTAGAGATATATCTATCATAAATATCCTAATTCCGACATGGATAATCTGTCTTTTGACCGGACCGAAGAGAGTATTAACTAGATTGAGGAGGGGATTAATCAAAATGCACATAAGCTGAGCCGGATAACATTGACCATTGAAAAAAAAATGTGAAATGAAATAAGAGGGAAAATGATTTAATGTAGAAACTATAAGGTCATACTCTGTAATTATAAAAGTCATAGGGGTGTAACTGTGTAAGTACAATTTGGCCAGTTCACTGTGCTTTGAATACGTGCATCCTACGCTTCGTACCCGTATTCCTTAATACATTGTCCTGCCAAAATATTGAATTTTGGTTTGGCTAACTGATGATGACAATATAAGACATCCACAAAAGTTTGAAATAAGAGCGAGGGAATGCGACAAAGCTCTGCTCTTTTACGTTTTGTTTATAGGAGTGGTTAGAATATTTTTCTTCTTTAATATTAAATTGAATCCTATTGTAAATGGGACCAAAACTCAAATTATACGTCTTATAGTATTCTTTAGTATTTGATGATCAACAATGGAACATTTATGCATAATCCCAGACTATAGAAACAGCCAGCTAACAAACAAAACAAACACAAGCACAAAAAGAGACTCAAATTATGCAAGATGGTGGAACATTAGTTTAACCTTGGTTTTGCCTAAAGATGGCTGTGAACGCTTCATTTTCATTGTAATGCTCCCTTTACGTGTGGCCACTTTAAGATGGTCTGTCCACCTTCAGGACATCAAAATATCAGGTCAAATCATCCTCCTCCAGTTCTTTGGCCTTCAGAGTTTCCTTCACTCTCAACAGAAGCGTGGTCTTCCAAGTATCCTGCAGAGAAGTACAGTTAACTTCATACACACAATTTAGGAGAATAAATCCAACCTTCCCACAAGACTCCGTCAAGAAAATAATCAGGGCCAATCACCTATGCAATAAAGGATATACTACGAGGTTACCACAAGTTCCTCAAACAAAACAATAAAAACAGAATATTATAAACTTACAGAGAGAAAATATATATTAAGGCACCCAATTGTCAACGAAAGCAAACCAAGCCTGCATTTCTTTCACAGGCACCATGTATGGGCATAGAGTGTATGTTGAAGCAAGAGCAGCAAATGAAAACGAAAAAAGGTGGGAAAAAACTGCTCTATAATTTAGGGGGTCCCAAAATTAATTATATGCTGCCAAAAGACGAGGAGATACCATGCTAAATGATTCTGTTTGATTCAACCAAAATCTTGTGAACTGATAAGCAATTCCATATTGGAAATCTGGTCTCTGATAAAATATAGATTCAGCCTAGTAGATTGCCTTGTTGAAGCCAACACCAAACTCAATAGCTGAGGACTTGAGGCTGACATGATTTTTAGCAAACTAAAGTTACTAAACAGTAACTATGCAGCCGTCGATGAAAGCCAAGTAAGAAGAGAACTAGCAGCTGCTTCATCTAGCATTTACAGTTTTAATGGTGAAGAATAACGAAAGCCAGAAATGGCCTCCATCTGAGCATGAATCAAACTTGGATGGCAAGAATACTTACCAGAGGGGTCATGCTATCAAACTCCTTGACAACAGCAGTGAATGTTGCCACATCTTCCTCGTCAACCGCAGCTGCCAAATCCTGACATTTAGTTATTACCATTAATCACCAGGGACTAAGTATTACTATAAAGCTACATGAAAGCTACAAGAAGTAGTTGCGAAAATACAATTTATTGCCTAACAGCTATTAAGCAACTATGATGAGCAAACACATTTATAATAAAGTATGAGAACCAGACTGTAAAAACCACTGTTACTCATGCCGAAGGAATTAGGAAAAGAAAAGCATGTACAACTCAAAATGCAAGGTAAAATAGCATGTCCTACTGTCAGATGAGCCCAAACTTACAGCTAACAGTTTGTACTCTCTTGTTCTCGAAAAGGTTGGATCCAAGTCCTGTATAAGCAAGTCAAAATTTGCAAGGAATTCAAGTATGAAGTACAACCTAATAACGATAAAAAAAACAAAAAACAAAAACAAGATATATACCTGGTATCTCTCCAGCGCATTGTGTATGGCAACAACATCACCTTTGCAGAGTTGGCAAAGTCCAGCATTAAGAAGATGCCCTCTGACTCCATACTTCAGTAGATTATTGTTGAGTGAGTGTCGTGCTATCTCTTCATAAATCTCAATTGCCTTCGGATATCTGAAGAGTCATCCCATCCAATTGCTTAGCCCACAAATATGCATCAACATCTACTTAAGCAAACAATTCAAAGAAAAGACTATCCCTACATTTGCAACAAGCAACAAGCAACAAGGATCCAGCCACAAACCTCAACATACTTCTTCTTCACTGTCATATTGTTAATTCATGATTCTTAGCAGCAACAGGAACAACAATCATAATACTAACAATTACGATCAATAATAACAAAAATTACAATAACAATACCAATAGTTTTGAGCCAGAACCAAATCCCCTAGATCTGCTTGCAAATGCTAATGAGTATTTTAAGAAAGTTGATGGAAGGAGTCCAAATTCAAGGATTCTAGGAAGAAAACTAGTACCCAGAAAAATGTCATATTAGCTGAGGTCACTTACTTTCCCATCTGAGCAGAAAACAGAGCAACTTTCTGCTTGCACTGATTTGAGGAGGTGGTCACTTCCTCACTTTGGAAAAGGTCAGCAGACCTCTCAAAATATACTATAGCCATCTCAAAGTTTTGTTCCTGCTCATAGAGCTCACCAATATTCTGAGTGAAAATTTTTAATCCAAGTCAGCTTCAGCTTCAAATAATGTACACATTTTTTTCTTCATACAACCACTAAAACTTACAATGTCACATGAAACTAATACTGTAAAGAATATCTGGGATATAGGCAAGTGGTGTTTTAGAGAGGAGAACATGAATGTACAGGAAAACTGAGGGAGCTGTGAGAAGCAAATCATGAATATACGGTAGCTAATCAGGTAAACACGTATATAAAGATTCTACCTTGGAGTATCTTGCAGCCATATTGAGTCTTCCATTCTCCAAGAACAAATTTACAGCTTGATCCAGACATGCTATGGCTTCTGCAGATCACCAAACACCAATACAAACAATAACAGGATGAGCTTGCCAATGTCCATGATTATGAACAGCACTAGTTTAATGCATATGAACAAAAAAAATAGATCAATGCAACACACACGTTTATTGGAGGTTTTCTTATAACAGTTTGCAGCATCTACATAAGCACTTGCAGCTTCCTGCTTACTATCCAACTGAAAAAAGCAAGCCATTTACATCAACTGTATTCAGTTACAGTGTGAGAAAAATGGAAACACATGAAATTGCCAAAGATTTTACCTTCAAATGACAATTGGCCAATTTGATGTTAACTAATGCAGCTCTATCCCCTGGGAAACAATCATGTCCAAAAATTAGGGGGTTAAATCGTTAAAGTTAAACAACTGTCCATGCCATCAAATCCTAATAGGTTCAACCCCATGAAAACATACTTATGCTGATTTTGGATCTACCGATCTAGAGAAATGACAGCTTATTAAGGTGGCCACTGCTTAGTTCAGAGGTTTGGTGCTTGGGCTGTTAAGAGCAATAAAGCATGTTCAAATATCAGGGTAGCCCACTCTGTAAACAAATGGCAAAGATTAGGTCCGCATCTATTATACCCTTACAACATCCTAATGTGCAAACATAACCCCAAAATGTCCAACCATGTCAAATGGAATGTCTATTTAATCTACCCCTTCTACCAACATAAGGCTTAAGGCATTTCTATTGAAACAAGTATCCGTTTCCAAAGTGCTCCATCTGGTTACTGAGTAAACAGTACAGAAAAAAAAGGTTAACCAACCGAGATATTCCATCCTAAATTTGCACTTTAATGTTTTTAAAACCTCAAAAACAACTACTTTTTTTGTTGCTATTGCAAAAAAAGGGTGGAAGCAAAGGAGAGCACCCAAAGTCCTCAGGGAAGATGAGGCCGTGAGATCATGCCCTCACTCCTCTCGGAAAAGAACCTAAATATAATACCCGTGAGATCATAAGACCCCTAATCGTGTCCATCACTTCAAGACTCGAACCTCCACCCTCCAACCTCAGTGTAAAGAGGAACTTCACTGGACCAAAAACAACTACCTTAACTTAACAATGATAAATATAATTTTCTCATCATAGAGCATAATTACTCAGTTAAATTGGGAGGAGCTTTTAACAATCTGCCGTCATTCAAATTTGTTCTCTTCAACTCTCTCAGCAACCAAATGAATACTTTACATGTACTTAAAATTCGCGATCATCAAATTTGGATATTATACCAGAAGTTATGAGGCAGTAATACCATTCATGTAGACATATAGTTCTGTAGATTACATGAGAGAGAAAGAGAAGTAGATCACAAATACTTATAAATTCATACAGGATTTGGCGAGTTTAAAGGAATTGGCGGCTCTTTGGTAGAATTCAGCGGCGTCTTCGTATCTAGAGCCGAATAAACCCCAGCTGCTAATCTTCTTATCGGCTTTCTTCTCAAGTTCTTCACCTTTTACTATCTGCTTCTCCATTTGATCGATCGCCTAGAGAATTGAGACTCAGAATGAACGAGAACGAGAAAGGAATTGAATACAGGTGTGTTGTTGCATTTGGACCTTCGTTTCTCGGGTCGTCCACACAGTCACGATGTTTGATTTTCTTGGGTAAATTGTAATAACGACCCCTGATCTTTATAAAAATAACACATTCACCTCTTAATATATCATAAATACAAAGCAAAGACCTCAATCAAAACTATTAACTAAAACCAATTACTTTTTTTCTAGTTAAAAAAAAATTGTTTTTTTTTTTAATTTTTAGGTTATTGAAAATTTATTTATTTACTTTTTTCTTGTCCAACTTGGTCTCCCTCTCTTTTTTTTTTGGCCTCAGCAATATAAATGGTAAGATATATATAGGAGCAAATTTAAGTATATTATTCTAAACGAAGATATATTTAGACTACTTTTGTCAAACAATAGCTAAATAAGATTTTAACTTTTTGAAGAAATTACTTTTTCATTTAAATTATTATCTAAAAAAAATGGTGTAAATAAAAATTCACTCAGTCCAAAGACTCCTCCAAACACAGTACAAATAAAAATTTTATTTTTTTATTTATATTTTTGCCCTCAAACCTCTCTCTCTCTCTCTCTCTCTCTCTCTCTTGCACGGACTATAGATTGCCATTGACCACTGCTCCAAAATGGATCAAGTTGACGATAACCGGACGTAGCTTCGAAGAGGGCCTCATCGGTGATTATCCTCTGTTCGCGACAAACATTCAAAGGTTACTCTCATAGTTTATCTCTCTCTCTCTCTCTCTCTCTCTCTCTAGCTTTGAAATCCAAGGGAACTAATTTTTTTTGCATCGGATTGTATTTTAAAGCCAAAAAGAACGCACGTTGAACTTCATGACTCATAAGTTCATGATATTCGTCGCCACCAATTTTCCCATAAAAAGTGAAAATTAGAAGAGATTTTTAAAGGTCGGTACCTAGGCCAATAGGATTTCAAAAAAATCTCATTTGCTAATTGTTTTTTCTTTGCCAATCAGATCATGACCTCAAAAAATTTAATTTTTTTTTGAATTAGGTCCCTATTGAAAAAATCAAAATAATAAACATAACTAATATTATTTAAAAATTATAATGTATCTTCTTCTCCATAAACAAAAAATTTCAGATAAGTATACTAAAAAAAATTATCAGACAGGTACCTAAAACACATATTATCAAATAGGTACGTTAAAATATAAATCGTTAAACAAATATACTAAAACACAGATCATCAGACAGGTACACTAAAATACAAATTGTTAGATAGGTATGTTGAAACACAGATCATCAGACAAGTACGCTAAAACACAGATCGTCAAACAGGTATGCCATAACACAAATTGTCAGATAAGCACGTTAAAACACAGATCATCAGGTATATACATTAAAATACACATCGCCAAATCCACCTTAACATGACCTAGTTTCAATATCATGAAACAAAAAATAAAAATAAAAAACCCTAAAAGCTAACCTTCTATTATCAAACATTCAAATTCAAGAGCTCAGAAACTCATAACAATCAATTAAAAATCCCTAAAAATTACTTCACTATATTCAAATCGTAAACCGAGCTCGGTATAAGTAAAATCAATCTTCCTGTACTCCTCCACACTTCCATTTGTACTTCTTTTGTAATTTTGCCTCTTCCTCGACAATGGAACCATTCACAATATTAAATGTCCGACAAACTTGGTTAGAGACGACTACGCTTCGGATGTAATTCCATTATCCCACGTGGATAGCAAACTTTGATTCATATCATAAAGTATCTCAAAAAACATGCAAATTCAACAATTTCAAAGGAAAATATGAAGTAGCTTGATTCCAATTTTGTGGAGAAGGAACAAAGATCATTAGGCTTGAAAATCATGTGATGAAGGCAAAATAGGTAATAAAAACACAATAATGGTCCCGCCTCTTATTGTTCGCGCTAACACAGGGATCTGCATGTAAATTTTTTCAAAACACGGGAAATTTTTTTTATACTAAAATTGTGACAGGACTAAAGTTAGTTTACACACCAAACGAGGGATCTTATGCTAATTAACTAAAATTAGAAAGTGCTCATAGAACTGCAGTCCAATCCACGGCCCACATACCATTTTGGAATGGATCCACCTAAGGCGGACGCTTCTTTACTTAATACGAGCTTTACCATCATGCAACCAATGAGATCCATCCGCTTCTTTGTGGGGCTTTGCTATTTCCTTTTTGAAGCCTCTTTTTTTTTTTTTTTTCCATAATCTTCATCTAACATTTCAGGTAGTGTTTCGAATGGCTTATTAAATTTAAAATTTATGTTTTTAATAAATATTTATCAAAAGTATTTTATAAGTAAAACACTTTCACTAAATAAATACTGTTTGGATGTCTAAAATAAAAAATACTTTAATCAAAGTAGCTTATAAAAAAGTGCATTTTGATTTCGTTAAATGTATCAGACATATTGTCAAGGCTCGTCGAAACACAGCCGCGAAACCTAGAAAAATTACAGATATGGAGCATTCGTAAATTATCCGGTGAATTGAACGTATTAATAGTAATCTATTATTGTTCATAAAAATGGCGTCCGGAGGCTTATCAAAAAGCTTATTGGGGACATCTCCTTCAAACTCATTAAACCTGAGATCTAAGAATTTCAGAGTCAGTAACTCACGAACATGAGGGAATTTTGGGATAAACTTCTTGTTACCGAGATCAAACTCGAACAATAGCATGAGGCTCTTGTACTTTCTCGCCACAGCGCCACAAAACTTGCTCGATTGATGTGAAACAAGGCAAGATTTGTGAGTAACCCAAGTTCTTCCAGGAGGTAACCGACAATATCACCACGGTTGAGGTCAATGTTGGCGATTGTAAGGAATGGTTGTTGAGCGTCGGAGCACAGAAGTATCCCTACCTTGTCGAGGATAGTCGGAGATGGAAGAACACTGATGAGAGCTGCCATGGGAGACTTTTTTGACAGAGATGATCGGGCGCAACAAACTGAAGTAAAAAGTAAATAGAGCGGAAGTATGAACCGAAGAGGGGCGGAAAGTGTAGTCTTCATTTTTGTATTTGTTTAAAAAAAATTCTTTTTATCTCCGGTCCACCTTTGTTAATGGATATAACTTTTATCCCTATTTTTGTCTGCGGGTAAATTTCTAATCCTCGTCCTCGTCCCTCGCTTCCTCCGTATCCGCCTAAGCCTAAGTTCAATTAACGTAATCTAAAATTCTAAATAAATCTAATATTTTAAATAATCTAACAACATTCTAACATAGTCTAACACAACATAATATAGATTACAAAATATAAAAGTCAAAACAATATAAGATTATATTTAAAGTGTCATTGGACCATAAAAAGAGAGACGGGACTATTAGAGAGAAAATAAGAAAAGGAAAATAAAATTAAACTAAAAAAACGATAGCACTACACTTGAAGTTTCCTAAAAGAATTTTTGTTATTACAATTCATATCACAGCCATAAAATGTTAAAAGATGAAAACTTAAAATTTCGTTAATTCAATAATTCTCTCAATTTCTTAGTTCGCTTTAGTAAAAAAACTCAGTAACCTCCATTTACAATATTTCTACCCACGATGAAATGTAAAATTATCTTACTCTCTCTTATCTGTTTTTAGATCATGATTAATCTAAACTCCTAATAGTTTCAATCAGTGAGCACAAATAGAAAAAAGAATAATCAAAGAAAAAAGTTGATAAAATTATCACGTAGTAATGCCATTTTTTAATTTGATTATCATATTTCTAGATTGATAGTTACAATAAATATGTTTAGTTAGGGCTTGAGAGTATATATAATATATATATATATATATCTAATGGGTAGCGGGGGGGGGGGGGGCAGGAGTAAAAGTTAGTCCATCATCGCCTTCATTCTCATACGGGTATCTCCGTATACGTCCACCGTCCAATACGTATAGTCCATCTCTAGTCCAAACGAGACGGATTTCGATGAATACCCATTTTTCCCTGGTCCAATGTCATCCCTACGTGGAAGTGTTTTTGAAGAAGTAAAAGTCTTTTTTTTTTTTTAAAAAAAAATTTACTTATTAACTTAATTATGTGATAAAATTACTTTTAACTTATTTGAAGTGTTTTAAATAAGTAAATCCAACCACCACTATTTTTTTTTTAAAGTGCTTATTTATATTATTTACTAATAAAGGTACCTTAGATAAAAAAACTTTTAAATTCCTCTTCTATCCTTAAACAATTATAACTCACATTAATAATTTCATTTAAAACTTTTGAGTTTCTATTTTGTCCTTAAATAAATATATGAACACTTATGACTTAAATCACAAAAAAAAATTTACATTGTGTGTACCCTAAAAGAAACCTACAAATTCAATAATTACCAATATATAATTCATAAAAGTCACTAATAAAAAAATTATTTTCTAATTTTATCCTAACAAAATTTAATAAAGTCCATATTATAATTCTGTAACTGTGATTTAACAATAACATAAAATCAATATTATCCTTAATCCAAAGATTACTCTAATTGATTTCTCTTTTTGTTCTTTTTTTATGGATTAATAATATAAAACTAAAAGTTTCCAATGGTCTAATATGTGTTTTAACTTATCTAAATTGTAAACCTTACAGATTCTAGAAATAATGTAAACAATTCTTAAGAGTTCTTGAGAATAAATATCAAATTATAACAATGACTTATGAAATTTAAAATGAGTCAAGCTCTTTAAAAATTTGACTTTTGAACTTTCCTTCGGTTACTAATATCTTATATATTTAGATAAATCTAACAACAAATCTAAAATTAAATTTCTTTACTTACAAATAAGTTAGTCTTGGGGAATTCCCAAAATTCTAATCTCTCAAGATAAATGTTGCAGAAGAAACAAGTCTTTGTAGCTGAAACATGTATGTCTTCTATCTATTAGTTTGTATGGAACTTAAAATTGCAGCTCGCTCTTGATCTATATTTGAAAGCACATTATGATGATTTACTTGATTATCCTGTTATCTTGTGTTCTATTATAAAAATATATCAATCTTTTATACTGATTTTATCAAACTTTTTTCTCGCAAAATTTGTATCGCCATGATTCATGCAACTAATGATTATGAACTCTTAGCCATTATAATAAATTTATCACACAAAAACGTATAGTTTCAACCAATCTTCCAGTATTGGTAGAGTGATCAATCAATCTTGAAGTAATCAATTTAATATGTAGTCTAACTTTTTAGAAGATTATTGTGGTTAGAACATATAGCAACATATAATATATCTAGACAACAAGTATCAATGGACATATACCTTGATTCGTAAATGAATATTTAATTATTTCAACATAATAATAAGAAAAAACATCACCGCTATAAATTAAATTTGTCCACGCGTAACGTACATATGTACCAATGTGTCGAGTGATAACTTCACATTAAAAAATATTGTTGATAAATAAAATTGAGTATTCGTTTAATAGGAGTATGTATTAATAAATCAATTTTATAGGTTTAGCACAATGCATTTATATAAAAGAATAATGAATTTACAAAAAGTTAAAGAAAAATTCGAAAGAGAACATAGTAGAATCTTAAAAAAGGGCAACATAAAAAACTAAGTGTTATATTTGGGAAGAATTATTTGCTTGACATCTTATCTAATTTAGTTTTAAGAGATTGAAGGGTTGCCAATTAAAATATACCAAATTGGTTTGATCATTAATTATCTTTAAATTTTGAAAGAGGAGATTATTATGATAGGTATGTGTGGGTACGTGGCCAATGCATTTTACCAAATTTATGATTAAACTATAAAATAAGACCCATAAATTACAAAAATTACATTTTGAGACAATTTTTGATAATATTCCTATTTTAAATTAATTAATTTATATACCGATATAATAAATATAAAATCAAAACTATTCTTAAAAATAATTTACATGCAACGCACGCATGCATGCAATATCTAGTGATAAGTAAAAATCACAAAAATACTATTATTTTTAAGTCATGCCAAACAACTTTTCTCATTTATGATCTTCGTTTAATGTCCCGTGAGGTAGGTAATACATACTTGAAGTAGTTTAATTTTTTTTAAAAATAATTTCAGTGATCTAAATGTTTTTTCGTGTATAAATGACACAATAATGTATGTTTATATGTATTAACATATATGTGATTAAGTTTGGGAGAACGGAGAAAGTTCCGATAAGGAAAAAGAATAATAGTGAAAAATAAAAAAACAATCGTTTGTTTCTTTTTTTTTTTGGTTCAACAATTAAGAGTGTTCAAATCAATTTTCGTGTATCTAAATTTATCCATTTCTCAGTCTAGTTAAAATAAATCATCCACATTGAAACTAGCCCTAAGAGATAAATAAGATTTAAATCCAAGACGTTTAAATTTATATATTATTTTTATTACCCCTAAACTACTCTTTAAAATTTACAAACCACCATTTAATTAGTTGGTATAAAAAGATTTTGACATCAATGGTGTTATTGATGATGCAAGTGGCAACACCTTGTGCTCCCAATGTACGAACATTTCAATTATTTCTTGAAACCAAAAGACAGGTGGCTTTCTTTATCCTTGCGTGTCCCAATACTTTTTTTTGTTAGCCTGGTGGGGTCTTTGGATTCCAAAGCCAAGTACTCATACTCTTGGTCCTCACTATTACACTACGGAGAGTGACTTTGATGATGCCCTTGGGTCCTACTCCATGGGTGCGATAGTAACATTCATTGACACCAACTTGGTCATGAAATTTAGGAACACGACTTTCCCACGTGTGACTCTCTATTCCCTCAAACTGGGAGCAGTTAGTTAAAGAATAATGACAGTTTTTAATTTAAGTGATAATAAGGATTAACGGTAAATTTAGACAATTTTTTAGAAACAGATTATGAGAAATTTATCTCTTATTAATATTTTAATTTTAACGTGGATGATCTCTCTTTGACCAAATTGGAGAGACAACTAATCGAGATACTCGTAAATTAGCATGAACATTTTTTATCGTTGAATTGAAAAAAAAATGACAATCTCTGACCGGTGATTAAGCTCACCATGAAAAATTAATGCCAAGTTCATTTTGTTTTAGATATCAAAAGAAAACAACCGACATAAGGAGAAAATATATATTATAACGGTTATACTATGTGATAATACTAACGTAGTATCACCAATTAATAATATTAAAACAAAGAGAATATATTTTTTATAGGTAGTTAATCAAAATTGAGGAGTTACATAAACTCATTGGGAATTCTCAACATTGATTTATGTATTCGTATAACTCTTCAATTTTGATTGGCTACTTGTAAATACAGGCTTGCCTTAAAAAATTTAATCCCTAAAACAAATAAGGAAACGTGCCCCACCAAAATTAATAATCAACTCTCCATGTAAACAAATAGTTATTGAAATGAGGTTCACCTTATCCATTTAATATTTTATTATTGATTTATGATATTACAGCAATATGATTAACGTGATATCACTGTTGTATTCAATATTTACTCTTACACGGGGTATCGTTTCTAAGTGGTGATGTCATTTGTAAAATTGATGGAAGTCCAGATCATACATGTAGATTACCTTTAGCTGTTGGTTTTATGACCATGAAGAGAAAAGGAAGCTAAAGAACAATTGAAGTAGAGCATGGACAAGCAGGGATTTAGGCATGGACAAGGTTGCTTCTACATATTTAAATGAACATAATCCTAGTAGAAGATTTAGTATACCAGTCTGAGGGAAAGGCAACGAAAAAGGAGATATTCGAAAATCTAATCTTGTGTGCTTTTTCATCGATTAGACACAAATTAGCAATCATGCTAATCAGTCATTTGAATGATGCAGTTTGTCGCAACTTTATTGTAGCAGATTCGTTTAATCTGACTATACCTTATCAAGATGATAGATAAGAGAGTGAGACAGAAACAGAGAAAGTTCATGACCGAAACATTGTGCCACCATGA